TTGTTGAAATGAACATTTAGAGTTGGTATGCAAATAGGTCATGAATATTTATAATGTAACTGAGCATGCTCACTTGTGAAACGAAGCTATGGGTGGAGCTTGAAAATTGCGAACTGATTTAGAAAACAGAAATTATTGGGCATATATATTGGAAGTTTGCACATGACGAATGTAAGTAAGGACAGAGAGGGATGATTATGGGGGATGTGATTACGGGGTAAATTATAGTTATAGATATACTTTGGGAGGATTAAGGGGTTAATTAGGGGTAGGGAATTCAGTAGAGTTGGAACATTGAAGGTAGAATCATGGGGATGTATTAGTGGGGCATGTAAGGGGAATACGGGATATAATGGGAATATAATGTGAATTGGACATATGGTAAAAGGGAAAGTGATTAGGTGAGATTCAGGATTAAAATTAGGATTAATATACTTTAGACAACCCACATTTTACCCAGATGTTTTGCCCGTATTTTACCCATTTGGGCCCCACAGCTAACCCATATGGATTATCTGGGCTGGCCCATGTGGGGCGCTCTTCAAAACCAATGATTAGATGCTAAACATACATTATGTGCCCATTTTAAGGGCGTCTTGTATGGGTTTTGGAAATTGGTTTTCATATTCCTCGTTTATATCAAAAATATCTGTACTTTTATTGGATAATGGTTACTTATAAGAAATATAACGATATTTTTAGGGCATTTTTGATTTATCTTGAGGGGACAATTTAATGCTCGAGGGGGCACATTTATGGCCGCAAAAGGGGCACTTGGGAAAATCTTGGGGGGGGGGCAAACGCCCCCCAGCCCCCCGGTGCCCTCATCACAGGGTCATGTGCTGTTTAACGCTGAAGCTCTTCACGTTTGCTGCAACCAAAGTGGACGAGATCTATGTCCTCGGTGGTTGGGTTGTCACTGAGATCAGTGTCATCCACGTGAAGGTCCAGGGGTATGCTGTCTCGTTTCGCTGGGTTAGGCAAGCAACTAAGAGCATCGGCAAGTACATAGACTTTCCTTGTTTGTAGGTGATGGTGAACTTGCAACCCTGGATCTTGATGAGGAGTCTTTGGAGACGCGTTTGGGCACTAGTCAGTGGCTTGTTGCAGATCGTCACCAGTGGTTTGTGGTCAGTGTGGACGTGGAAATCTGTGCCAAACAAATATGGGTGAAACCGGGAGATGCCAAATACAACAACTAAAGTTTCTCGCTCGATGTTGGAATAGCAAGCTTGGGCAGGTGAGAGGCTTTTTGAGGCAAAAGTGACTGGGTTGCCTTCTTGAAGGAGACATGCCCCAAGTACTTTCTGTGATGCATCGGAATGTCGTCAGTTCCTGAGATTCGTCGTCGAGGTGGACTGACCAATATCCTGCCTTACCGTCTAATTTCGAGAAGAATTTTGCTTTAGCGAATACTGAGTTGAGCTCTTCTAAGGTTGGAATCTTGTGTGGACATCTCATAAGGATGTCGTTGAGGTGCTTGGGGTCTAAGCAAACTCTCAAAGATCCATCTTTTTTCACACTCGTGGTGATGGAGCTGCACCAGTCAGTATGGTGCTCGACGTATCGGATTACGCCGTCTCGTTCCATTTTCTCGAGATCTGCTTTTAGTTTTTGCTTGAGGTGGATGCTGTATTTGCGTGGTGCATCTATGCTTGGGGTGGCATGCTCTTTGAGGTAGAGATGGACTTTGGCTTTGAAGTTACCAAGCATGACAAATTGCTTCGGAAACCTGCTTTTGAGGTCATCTACTGTATTGATGGGTACATGCAATTCGGGCCAGTTGTTCTCGGTTGGCAGCTCTGGGCTTGGCTGTGTGTCTGTGCTGGGCGTACGCAATGGTAGTGCAGGCTGGCTTACGGAATGGATGGTCACAATCCGGAGAGCCTTGCACATGTGCAAGCTAGTTATGGCTGGGCCTTGCACATCCATGATGTAGAATTGTTGCTTCGACCACATTGAGTTCTTGTATCAGCACATGATGTGGATGCACCCTAGGCACGTAATAGCAGAACCGTTATATGCCGTGAGTCTTGCCTCAGTTGGTAGTGCGCGTGACTTCCACTTGTTGCCATACATCTGCTTCATGGTACGTAAGGGCAGAGTGTTGGCTCCTGCTCCTGTGTCAACTTTGTGGCGGAGGCGCTTTGGGCCAGGCAAGTCTGGACGCATCACATCCAGAGTTTTGAATGCCTCGTCGGGTGCTGGTGTATGCGTGGTGTTCACGTCTGACAGGGTGATAGAGTAGAACACACCATCCGAAGACGGGTCGGCTGTTCGGTTGTCCCAGGTCACAGACTCGTCTGCTGTGGTACCTTTGGACATGAGGTCCACCTGCCTATTATCGGTACGACTCCCTGCTTTGCCGGCTGGGTTACGCGACTTTGAACGGCCGCATTGGCGTGATTGGCTGTGCGGTCTGCGGGAAGATTTGCCATGGCGTTGCATGAGCTTCAACTTTGGGCATTTGCGTAGCTGGTGCATGAGACCGCAATTGAAACAAGCACGCCTGGTCTGCCGCATTGCGCTGACGTCGGTATTGGGGACACGACGTGTTTTACACGGATTGAAGGCATTTTTTGCTCGCTGCCATGGCTTTGTATTTACTGCCTTCCGCCAGAAGCTCATCTATGTGAACCCATTGGCTTTATCAAGGAGATCTTTTTGGAACGCTTCGTATGGTGTGGAGGCAACTACCAGCTCTAGAACGGGTTCGTGTAGCTCATCAGGCTGAAAATCTAGATGTTTCGCTTTATCGCGGCACCTCGTAACTAACTTGCCCAAGGGTTCCTGCGGCTTCTGTCTGTATCGCATCAATTCTAGCCTGTGAATACGGAAATTAACCTTTATCTGTAACTGGCTCTCAAGTTATTTCCAAAGTTTATTTGGGTCATTTTGTTCTTTGTCACTCAGACCTGATACATTTATCCTTTTCATGCCTTCATTTTCTACAGCAATCTTGATTTTGACTGCTATTTTCCTTTGGTCTGTTACATCATTGTCCAGGAGACAAAGTGACATGCGCTGCTTGAAAAGCTTGAACTCCTCTGATGCGTCTTGAACATCCCAGTGCATTTCCGAGTAGTTCGCCATTGTGACTAGTGGCAAGTCTATGATGCACAGTTCCGGCTGGTTGGCGGAGTGATGTATGTAAACTGCTATACAGGAGTGTGTATCCCTACGCTACGATATAGTACCAATGCCCTGAACGTACAATAATTAACGATAAATCTGAGCTGTTTACCAAATCGGGCCTATGAATTTCTTAAAACCACACTACATAAGAAATGTAAATTCACAACAGGCGTAGATTTCGAAATTACAGTCAGTTCAACAATAGTTCAGTTCACCGTTTCAGTGCTGATTCCCTGCCGAAGATTTGATCTGGCGGGCCGTCCGGTAATGGGAGTCCCATTGTCTGTGTGGCACGGTAGGTTCTCCGGGCTCGCTTGCTCCCGGTGTGGCGCCGATGGGGGCCTCCGGACTCGCTCACGGTGTAGTCGGGGGAAAGTAGAGCAGGATTGATGTTCTCTCGGAGCGCACTCACTGTATTGTTGGTGCGAAATTGCCTCTTGGAAGTGCCAAGCAATGAGCGGAGGCTGTACACACAGTCACGTTGCCGTGGTGGCTGTACTGCTACACGTAGGTGGCCGTTTGTAATGCTGTGTGGATGTCGGCTGCAGACACCCTCGTGACAGTCCGTGCCGTGTCGAACTTCAGGCTCGAAATATATCGTTGGCTGTGAACATGTACCTCATTATTAAGCACGCTGCGCACTGACTGTGTCCCTTGCTGATGTTCCAACTCTCTGGCTCAGTCCATTATTTTAAGAGATAAATCAAAGTCTGGACTAAAACATATAAAAAGAGGGGGCAAAAATGAAAAAGGGGGTTGACCATTTTCCATGGTCTCTACACTCACCCCTGCAAAAAAAACTCATCAATTACTAGGCGGTTTCTCCTCAACAACGTAACTTGGTGGGACTCGGGGCCAATGGAGTAGCTAGTTCCACTTCCTTTTAACTCCGGATCTCATGTCCAAGACCATCAGTGAAGTGGACTGGAACTTGATGACAAGCACAGTAACATCTTCATCTACAGGCTACGTATCTCGTCTACAGCTTGTGGTGGGTTGACCTCACATTGATGCTACTGGACGAGGATCTCTTCCCTTGTGTACACTGCGCAGTGGTTTCTTCTTGGACATCGTTACTGGCTGTTGGCGCATCGGAGGATTACACTCTAGGAACCCCACCTGGCTGAGGTGGCGGGTGGGTCCACATCCAGCTGGGCGGCATCATTGGTGGGAATTGCATGTACCCCGGTTGGGCCACAGTGTTGTGCATTGCATACATCGGCATTCCCCAGGGAGGTGCAGCAAAACTTTGGACAGCTGTGACTCGAGGATCCATCTGTTGATATGAAGGTTCTCTGAGTCTGGCATACTCGAACAGTCGCAATGGAAGACGCTGCTGTATGGTGCTGCTCAGCTTGTTCAGGGTCATGAGGGGGACTGGTACATCCGAAACTGTCATCTGGGAACCATGTTCTGCCAAATTGCTAGCATGGTCTTTACCGAAATCATCAGCTTCTTCGTCGATCTCCAGCTGTTCAGCACAGGGAACGTCAACTGCTATTGGGACATTGTCCTGGTCCGTGGTTACCCCTACGTCTCCTGGCTTGAGCCGTGGTGGTGAATCACAAGAAGAACCAGCTGCTGATGGTGCGTTCAGTGTGAATGGAATATCACCTGGGTTTAACATCGTCTCGCTGACCTGGTTACATGGTCTGTCATTTCTCGTGTCGGAGGGGATGCAGATCACCACAGGATCTTCATCGTCAGAGCTGTCACCACTCGCTGAAGACTGAAGTGTTGTTGCAGGTTGTCTGTGGGTCGGTCTCTGCATACTCCTCTGTGGTTGGGGCTGACTTGGCTTTTGGTCAACATCAGCTCGCATGCTATCACATGGAAGAAGGAGATTTCGGTGCAAAACTCGATTCTTAGACTTGCCGTTCACAGTCTTCTCCCTTCCTTTGGACAACAACATACACCTGGTCTTCCCAGTACGAACGGAGCTTTCCTGGACCTTGGTGTCGTCCGACGAGTACTTGGTCTCCAGGTTGAAGAACAGAGCTGCGAGCCTTCTGGTCATGGTATTTTCTACCTCTTTCAGTAGACTTGGCTGCATGCTGAGCTGCAATGGAGTAGGCCTCTTCCATTTGCACCTTCCATTTCCTCACAAAGTGGTTGTGGTCTTCAGCACCTGGTCCAAGTTGTGGGTTCAGCCCAAAGGCAGCGTCAACTGGTAAGCGGGGAGATCGTCCATACAGGAGGAAAAATGGGGAGAACCCTGTAGCTGTATTTGTTGTGCAATTGTATGCATGAATGACTTTCTGGAGCGATTCTTTTCAATTAGCCTTCTGTTCCATGGTGAGGGTCCTCAACATGGCCAGTAGTGTCCTGTTCAGTCTTTCGCACTGTCCATTTCCCTGGGGGTGGTATGGTGTTGTTCTCGAACTTGCCACACCGGCAAGTTGCTGAAGGCATTTGAAAAGTCGGATCTCAAACTCTTCCCCTAGGTCATGATGAATACAGTGTGGATAGCCAAAGCGAAGAACAAAATAATTAAAGATTTTGTCTGCTACAGCTCTAAGGCAGATTTGTCTTTGGTTGCATATGCCTGAGCGAATCTTGTGAAGCTGTCAATGAGAAAGATGTTTGGCTATAGGGCCATCATCACAGATTTGTCCTTAGGTAGAATAACAAGCAATGGCAGCCATTTTGAAAATTTTGAATTTCTTGTTATTCTACCTATATTTTTGTCAAAGGACAAAAATCTGTGATGGTTCTATAGCCTTCATACTTTCAATTGTTTTTCAATTGTTAGGGAGAAATCTATTGCGGTATTTTGAATTCACCTAACGTTGCCAAATAACCCCAGAAGAACAAGCAATTTCACATATGACAAGAAATGTTCCTCAGATCATAAAGTAAACAAGATTCTTTGTTTTGTTCATGAGCTTTGATTGAAACAAAATAATCACTTTTTGGACTGAAATTTCTTGTAATTTGATACCAGATGATTATGACATCACATTTGTATGCACACCTCACCTCATACCAGTTTTGAAGTTCATGGTTCCTTTTGATATAAAAGCCATATGCAGCATTATTGTCCGGAAAAAAGCAAAGCACGAATACAATCACTTAAAAATAACAAAGACAAAACCAAAGGGTGATCTAGATGGGGGCTCAGCCCCATCACCCACTAATATAGTGATCAGGCTAGTCCGAGTAAGTTGGCCCCAACTTATCGCCTTTTTATCATTCAGACATGGTCTGGTGATAGTAGGGTCCAAGCTAATCCTTATATGCCGAGCAACACAATTCTGTCATTGACCCAAAAACCCGGCGTTGCCCAACAAAAACATCAGATTTCACCCTCAAAATGACCTCCAAATTACTAGATAAGCCACCTGAGGTACAAGTAGACATCGATAATTAAGATGGTTGTACTGAAGTTTACTTATGATCCGAATGAAAAGTGAAATTTCCTGTTCAATTCCGGGAGCTCCCCTCGCGATCGTGAACACATTAAATTTCCGAATCGTGTTAATGTTTGAACGCTGCATTGTGGTCTTCATGCCCAGCGTTCACTCGATGGTCCCCGTATCCCGAGTGCGATTCCGTTACCGAGCGCGATGCATCCATTATGATAATGAGTAGACTGGATCACGTTTGTTAACACAAAGTGCATTTCAAACAGTCGGGAACTATAGGGCAGATTTTATGGATGGAAACCAGTGCAAGCTAGTTCCTGACTCCCTATGGGTCGAAATGCAATTGTGTTTACAAATGTGCTTGTAATATTCCCCCAATCGACATGTTTGGCTACTCTACTAACTGTTATTGTGTACTGTCATAACCCCTGACTCGTGTACAGAACTCTGTTACAATCACACGCGGTGTATACATTTACTGACTGTACATGATTTGATATATGTGCATTGCTGAAGTTGTGTAGTGTGTATTGCAGTGTTGAATAAATAGTGCTCTCCAGTGCCGAGCCAAGAAATCAAGAATAAACCAGGTTAATTATCACAGTTCACTACAGGGCTCCAGTCTACTCATTATCTACTAATTATCTACTAGGTGGCATGGGTGGCTTGTGCGTAAAGCACTCGCCTCTCACCAAGGTGACCTAGGTTCGAATCCTGGCCGCGCATCACATGTGAGTAGAGTTGTGTGTTGGTTCTCTCCTGTGCCACGAGGGTTTTTCTCCGGGCCCTCCGATTTCCTCCCTCCGGAAAAATCAAACACTTTCGATCTCAGGTTGTGCTCCGTGGTCATATATATATGGGTCGATGTGGCTGGCAGCCACAGGCGCCATTACGTGCCAGCGGCCTGACCACGTTGTAGCCGCGTCCTTCGCAATTCAGCATACCAGCTGCGAGTAAGGATGATTAGCCTCCCAAATTATTATTATTATTATTATTATTATTATCATAATCGATGCATTGTGCACAACGGAATCGCACTCAGATTACGGAGACCATTGAATGAACGCTGGGCATGAAGAACACAAGCAATTTGGAGGCCGTTTTCAGGGTGAAATCTAATGTTTTTGTTGGGCAATGTTGGGTTTTTGGGTCAAGTACAAAATTGTGTTGCTCGGCATGTACAGATTAGCTTGGACCCTACTATCGCCAGACCATTTCCGAATGTTAAAAAGGCGATCAGTTGGGTCCAAGTTACTCGGACTAGGATCAGGCCTAGAACATTCTGCTCACAGGGCAGGTTTGTTTGTTTGCAAAGCAACCTAAAAGCAATCTTTCTCTTTTTTAAAGGTAACAGAACCTCAAATTAAAAAAATCTTCCAAACAAATTGATATCAGTAATGAAAAAAATAAAAGTTTTGTCAACCCGACCACTCTGCGCTCGTAACTCAACAAAGGCCTTACATGTTTACCTCTAGTTGTAGTTTTGTTTTATTTTGTGTGTGTGTCAGTGTGTGAATTTTGAAGTTTTGTTGGGAGAACAAAATCAAATTTGTTGGGGAGCAGTGCCAGCACATCAATTCCTTGCCAGTATTTTATTGTTTTTCATTCTCAGTTGTCAGATCTGCATGTGCACATGGAAGACTGACTTATAATTTCCACACAATTATGAAAGTTTGTGTTGATGAGCATGTACATGAAAGAAACTTACATGATTTTAGTTGAATGGTTCCCTTGTGTTGTCCCTCATTGCTGCAGATGACCACTTGGTTGTTTCCAGAGTCTGCCACAGCAATTTCACCAGGTTGAGTAGCAGTAATACCAAAAGCCCATTGGAACTGTCCTGGACCACTTCCCCATTGACTAAACTCGCCACACATCTCCCACTTGACTGTCTCAAGCTTGCCCAGATTGATGTCACCAATCCTCTGACCCGGGGTGAAGCTCAGATATGAAAGCTTGGGATTAATCTGGGGAGGATTTTGACTGTTGAGTGATTTCAAGTCTTTGCTGATGATAGGATAGAGGGAAAGCAAATCAGTGTCCGATGCAGTGTTTATGACATTCTGAGCTGTACTGAAGGAATGTTGTTTACTTTGTAGCATCATTGTCACTGTTTCCTGATGCTTATCATATATTTTGTTGCGATGCTGCTGGAGTTGTTTGATTTCTTCAATCATCTTTGTCTCTTGAGTTGTTATCTCAGCTCTCATTTTATCCGCTTTGTCTTTCACAGCTTTCACAGTCTTTGTGACGTTCTGTGTGAACTTCTGCTTAGCTTGTGATGAAGTGGTCAAAGATTGTTCAAGTCTTTTGATGTCTGTGGTGAAGTCTGGAAACATATCTTTCAGTGACTGTTTGTATTTGAGAGAAGCCTTTCTAGAGTCAATGTAGTGATGTTCCGGTTTACAGTGGTCTACTACAGTACAATCTCGGCAGATTAACTCTTCACATGTCTCACAGTAAAACCGTTTCACTTCCCCCTTGTGTCTTTGGCATTTAGACTCATCTTCTTCTGGTGTTTTTTTCACTGTTACCTTCCCCTGACGAATGTCCTCCAAAGAAGCCACTGTGTGGTTTGATGTAGCAGCAAATCGCAAGTGTGTCTTGCGACAGTTTGGGCAGATATTCTGTGCACAGTCCAGACAACGATGCATGGCCTCATTTCCCTCATCACAAATCTCACAGATGACCTTTGTGTTTTCTGAACAAGCCACCTTTTCTTGGAGTGAGACCTCCTCAACTATTCCCATCAAATGGAAATTTGTTTTCAGGCCTTGAATGCATGTCTCTGGAAGTATCATCTCCCGTCTACATACAGGGCAAGGAATCTTAGGCTGACCTGCATACCTGGTAGTGTAGTATTTCTCCAGACATGTCTCGCAAAAACTGTGTTGGCAGTCCAGCACCTTGGGCCGTTTGTATTTCTCCTGACAAATGTCACACTCTAGATGGTTGCTTATTTTCTCAAGAGCTGTAGCCATTTTTATCTGCATTTAAATAGTATTTAAAAAGAAAATGGAAGGGTTACTATAAGAGCAATGAAAAAAACTTAAGCAAAACATGTGCCTTCTATGTACATTAAAGATGTACATGTCCATCCGAGTTTCATTTGGACAACAAGTAGATGTACATGTACCAGTACATGTATAACGTTTCTTGTGAATTGCTGCTTTGTAGCCAGACAAAAGATATCCACTTTTGAACGAGACATCAAATAAAAAATCTCTCTTTTATTTCCTTTTGAAGAGCACTGAGAGTACATCTTGAATTCTCTTTTGAAATGATTTCAGGTATTGAAATGGACAAAACTGTATGCAAGTCGCCATAGTTTTTTGCACTTATATGACTGAATCGGTTTTTGTTGGAACATTACTTGTGCGTACACTTCATGTTTTTAAGTCTAAAGCAAGCTGCAATGCCTATAAGCTAGCCTTTAACCTCATTCAACAGATCTGACAATATTTTCTTACCTCTTTTAAATTCCCAGTCAAATCATTTAAATGCAAAGCTTTCCAGAGTGACGTAAAGAGCACAAACAGTTGAGGCTTTTGATGGGGCGGATCTGGTAAAGATGGCGCTGGACAAACACAACATCGTCATCAAGTCGCGTGACATGGTTTATATATAGAGCTTGGGATTTTTATTTTGCTGCATACATGTACATGTACGTCACACACGTACAGTCTGTATATCTGTGTACATATTTACTTGACACTTGAGTTTTGGACCTTAGATAGGTTCATGCATTCTATCTACATGTACATGCTGCACTCTGTGAAATTTCAATCGCATACACCTCACCATACATTTAATTCCACTTGATTTATTTTCAACCATCAAACAAAATATGCTGTAAAAATATTTTCATCAAATCTTTCATATTTCACACACGAAAAGTTTCTATCATCTTGTGCTATAAATACTGATAAAGAGTTTTCAGTCAATTTGAAGTTATCAATTTTGACCAACCCGAAAAGTTTCAACTTTTCGTTAAAATTGTCCATGCAAATAAAGCATATACGTGCTACTGGGGGAAGTACATTTGGGTGTAATGGTGTACACTGAGGCCAATGAACAACAGAATTGACTGTACATAAGAGGACACTATGTCCCAGTTGGAAACCATCACAAATCAAATGAGAAGAGTTGTCAAAAGTTACCCAAACAAAAGCCATCACAAGGACAGTGGGAAGTCCTCAATCTACACAAACCTTTGTGGGTGTGTGAAAAGTGCAGAGCTTTAGAGGAGGGGAACCAACATATCGTTGAAACAGTGCATCAAAACTACATTCTTTATGAGAGCATTTTTAGAATGCTGTAACCATGGTAATATAATCTGTCATCCTGTCTGACTTGTTTCCAGGGTGTGTAGGGCATCACCTCAAACTCCCATGACAACAAGATGAGACAACTCAAGGAACATGGTCGGGTTCTTGGCAGGATTCATCCTGGGTTCTATGACATCAGGAAGAGATTGAAGGAAGATCTTGAGAGAATGTTGGCTGAGAGACGATGAGGAGTCCAGAAGATGAAGGCCGGTAAACGTCTCAAGTCAAGTAAGAATGAAAGTTGTCTGGAAATAATCACTGCATCAGCTAGATTTGATGACTAGTGATCCTACATGTACTTAATGTCTTGGAAGCTTCATGTTAGGGCTGTCTGGTTTGAATCTGGTGAATCTTTGCATCAGATCCTACTGCTCGTTTTCTTTTCTATTGACCCATGGTTCGATTCCTGTTTATTCCCAGGTGTGATCTCAGTTATTTTTGAAGGAATTGAGGAGTCTTGGGTTCAGATCCTACTGCTTGTTTTTCTTTTCTATTGACCCCTGGTTCGATTCCTGTTTATTCCCAGGTGTGACCTCAGTTATCCTTGAAGGAATTGAGGAGTCTTTGGTTGAGATCTTACTGCTTTTTTCTTTTCTTTTGACCCCTGGTTCGATTCCTGTTTATTCCCAGGTGTGATCTCAGTTATCCTTGAAGGAATTGAGGAGTCAAGTCACTTAAAGACATTTTTTAAAAGAAATTGTGAGAGGTTTTCCACTTCGATGCAACGAGTGTGAATAGTCGTAACCTTTAGAGGGGGCGGATCCCAGATCTGAGTCATGTACAGTTCATTATCTTGTTTGTTTGCTGACATGTTTACTCTACACTTGAGTTTGTACCTTGGACCTGAGTTAGGTTAATTTTTGTACTTGCATACGTGTACATGTACACGTACACCATCAGGTTGCAGACTACTTAAATAAACTGCCATAGACCCCAGTGATAGATACCCCCACTTCCAAAATTCAGGGGAAAATGACTTTTGTGAGAAATTTCCATCCAGTGGTGATCACCCCTAAAAGTGTATTCCGGATGTCCATTGCCATTTTGAAAACTGATGCCTATGCTGCATTGCAAAATGGAGCAATTTCAGGGCTTAATTCATCCAAATTACACAGAAATACAAATACGAGCTGGCAGTCCTGTTCACGGCTTCCACTTTTCTTCTTTTTCTTTTTACAAACCTTCAATTTCATGGCCCACAAAATAATGATAGCAAAAAATGAGGGCGTACAAATCGTGATTTGGCCGGCGTAGGCAATTTTGGGCCTTTTTACTGGCCTGCAACCATCAGTGTAGGCGTAGGCAATTTTGGGCCTATTTACTGGCCTGCAACCAGTGGCGTAGCCACTGGGGGGGGGGGGGGGGCAACCGCCCCCCATGAAACCTTGTTGCCCCCCCAGTCGCCCCCCCCCCACTGAGATTTTGAGTTTCTAAAAAAATTATCATTGATCTAAATCTAAATAGCTCCCCCCCCCATGAAACCTTGTCGCCCCCCAGTCGTCCCCCCCCCCCCCCCCCCACACTGAGATTTTGAGTTTCTAAAAAAATTATCATTGATCTACATGATGCCATGGGCATCAATCCTGGGGGGACAGGGGACTGGTCCCCCTCCCCCCACTTTTTGAAGGGTGGGGGGACACAATATCAAAACAAAGTCTATCATTAGTGGCATACATTACATGTATCTTTCTCATAAATTTTGAGTTTTTATAATTTCAATTTCATTTTGAGCAGCTCTCTCATCCGTCCTGGAGCCTTGCTTCATTGACCAACCGCCTCGCCCAGACCGGTCACCATGGCAACTGAACAGCCTCAGGCCCCGCCTCCATCAGCCATTGGTCAAGATCGTTGCTTACCAATTCCAATCAGCAATGAGCGTAGTCGAGGGCAATGCAAGACACCTGTCAGCTTTGTTGTTGTACCTGTCAGTGATCTGGGTTACCCTGTTGGTTCACCAGGGAGTAGCATCTGGGCTTATACACCAGGTAAGCTCAGTTTTCATTTACCACACACTTTCATTAGATGCATGAAAACTGACTATATCTGGAGCATCAAGATAATAGAAGTGTGAAATAGTCTCATATTTTCTTGGCTCGGTACTTAAAGATCCTAATTGAAGAACTTAGCTAAAAGATCCTTGTTATTTAAAAAATGTTATAAAAATCAACTCGGAAGGATACGATAACATTTAAGTTCAGGCCATGAAAATACAATTTAAACAATAGACCACCGTGATTTCTAAACCCAATGGACATACGCGACATGCGGATTAGCAAAATATTAGTTGTCATCCCTTTAAGAGAATATTTTCCTTATAAATGGCAGATTTAAATCAAACTTGTTGTTTCTACTGAATTTTTCCCCCAGGAAGCAGTGGTGACTGGATCCCAAGTAGCAACTTAGAGGACATACCAGGCACAGCAGCTAACAGGATGCCTAACTTCTCCCATCAAGACACTGTCAAGAGAGGATGGCTTCCAAATGAACAAGTAAGCATCTCACCCCTCCACCACCCCACTACACTCAGTCAGCATGAGTTCAGGACTTGAAAACAGTTTACAACAACACAAGACAATTCAAGTTGGTTCCAGAGTACACACAGTCCTATTCAATTGATTTAGCCCATTCATTGGTGTTACAGGGTAATCCTATACAACAGCACTGCCCAGCTCACAAGTGACAGTGAGTCGATCCGTGAGGTACAAAGAGGACTGTAGGCTGGCCCTATGGGACCAGCACAAACTGAACAGCGATCATTGAGAAAATCAAATAGAGAAATCAAAACCTCATCAAGATGTACCTTGTGTATCTCAAGACATTACTGAAATGTCATTATGCTTGCGAGCTCTAACTTTATTGCCCTGGTTATTTCCTACAGACACCTGTCAGCCGGTTTGGTGAGCAACATGAGCCAATGTCTGGCATGCATCATAACATGGCCATGGGAGATGGGGGAGGGGTGACAGCTCATGGAATGGCAGGAACGGTCTGGAACCCTGTAGCCACCATGCAACTTCATGGCACCAATCCAAAGGTGGGTCCTGTCTCAAAGCTTAAGTCTGTGTCAATATTATCAGGCTATATATGTGAGGCATTCTGGCAAAATGAGACGGAACTGGGCACAGGCCGTAGTGGAGGGAAAATGCAAAACAACGATAGGGGGTGATTTTTGTTTTTTGATTTTCAGATTTATTGATATTCTTAAGTAAGTATAACATGTAGTCTAAAAATCATGGAATACAAGAGTTTTTAAGGAAAGATAATTGGCATCTTTCATTGTCACGAATACAAAACTGGAAACTTTACAGGCCTTTTTCTTAGTATTTTGTTTTTTTGACATGTCGATAAATGCAAACTTTAAAGTGAGCCATAATTGTCAATGGAATGTCCAATAGGAGTGCAACAAACATTATTGTAAGGAAAATTGTATTTTCTTTCGTAATACCTGCAAACCCTCATTTCGACCTCTGCCCAGTTCCGTCTCATTTTGCCAGAACGCCTCACATATATGGTCGTCAGTAACACGTGTCTATCAGCCGCTTTCATATCGGCGCATAATTGCTAGCTGCAGCAATTGGGAGACAGTCTTAAAATCTGTCTTTATTTCTATAAAACATAATTTCCTTGAGTGTTTACTGCAAAATCCTTCTTCAGGCCAATTTCAATGTATTCCTGATGTAGTGAATGCCCAATCTTTGAAGTTGTTAAACTTTTTTCTTATTTTGCAGGGAGGGGCCCTAAAAAAGTTTGTTGACATGAACTACACGTTCTAAAATAAAATTTGCATTACAGCATTGTATGTACATGTAGTTGGGATCAACTACCCTCAGTCACCCAACAGAACAATCCTCATTTTTTTTACTTTTAATGTTTTTTTAGTAAAGATTTGATAAATTTATTAAATTTGCAATTTTGTCTTCTATATTCCCAGGTGTGAGGAGCATCACAGAGCCAGCTGGTCGTGTGACATAAGGACACCTCTCCATCTATTCCTATAGAGGGCGCTGTTCGTCACAGAGGCAGCATCCACAAGAGATAGTTAAGTTAATTAATTTTTCTTCAATGGCCAGTAGCCATAGAGGGCGCCATAATGCTATCTGGTTTGTTCACAGACAAATAAAGCATATACCGCCAGTCATGCGCTTGAAACTGTGATGTCATAAAGTATGGGCAAAACGTTTCTTGACAGCGCGCATAACTGCACGATGTGCGTTCAATGCGCCAACGCGCTTAGCACGGTACATACATTGAAATACAGTAAATTTTGGTAAAAATTTGTGAAAAGTTGTATGAAAATATTGGATACCGTATTGTTTTTAATCTCGGATATCGTATTTTAGTTCACAAGGGATTTGTTAACAATCAGAAACTAACTTCCCAATTTTTTTTACATGTTTGATTTGAATTCTTCAACCGTGTGTAAAATCCCTATTCATAGAGGTGAATTTCCCAATAGTTTTGATTTTAGTCAGGTGCTAGGCAAATCACGAAATGCTCATGTAGTTTTGAATAGGACCTGGCGGTCTATGCATTTATATGTCTGTGGGTTTGTTGCCTTACCTGCCTAAAAAAAATGCTGACGGCATAATTCAGAGAAAAGAATGAAAACGAAATAATTAAGCCTTGGAATAAAAAAAATTGTATCAATTCTGTGAAATTGAAGATGATTGTAAACTGCGAGTAGTTTGTATTTAACTTTATTTATGTTAGGCCATAAAAAAAACAAAACGTCGGTCTCTGGTCAGCGCGCGCGTCGATTTTAATCATGGGTGTCAATCTTTTTTTTTCCCAAAATGTTCCGTGGTAGCTCCAACAGTGCCCTCTATTGCCGCACCTCCTTATTTTTTTACCAAAGAGCACCAAGGAATGGGAAATTGCACCAAGGCAAATGATCGAGGGCACCAAGGCAAATTATGGAGGACACCAATGTACATGAGGACACCAAAAAAGCAAAATAGTACCCCACCTTGTCTGTACAATCAAAACTTGAAAAAAAAAAAGCAAAAAAAAAAAAGCCGCATCGCGCATCAATTCCGGAACTTTCGTCTGACCAGAGACCAAGTTTTTTTTTTGGCCTTACTGTAAAACAATTGAAAAATCCTTTGCTTTTTTGTTGGCATAATTTTTTATGTAAAAAGATGATAGGCTACTAATGTTAGAAATTTGAAGTTAATTGAAATCAATCTTGGAAACTGTCAGTTGAAGATATGTTTTGTCGACATGTACATTACAACATTAAAGGTCAGTGAACCTGGGTGACCTTTGACCTCTGTTGTCTCAATAGTAGTTTATCAGTTAAAATGTCCATTCCATAGAGCTGTAGTAAATTATGAGAGCGTTTACTCCTCATTCGCTTGCACACTTCAAAGTTGTCTGAGCTTAACACAGTGCTTGAAGAATGTACATGTAGCGAGATCAATGTGCAAGTCACGTCGCCAATATGACATCAATTCTTTTGATTTTTTGTGCGCTTAATGTGTTGCAAAAATATAACAGATATATGGCTGAGCAGGCACATGATCTACAGTGAAAAAAATGCAAAAATCTATGCAGCGCACTAGTGTGAAAGCACAGAATGAAATGGGAGTTGTACTAACAGCTTTGAATAACAGGGAGTGCGTAACAATTTATTGCAATAGTTTTTCTTGCAACAATAAAACAAAACACAATGGAGTGTGTTCAGTGGAAAAAGTACAATCAGAATGCAAGTCAATTGAAATTTTGTTTGTTGGTTGGTTGTGATGACGAGGCCCGGATTCTCCAGTAGATCTCTCTCATAGGACGCCATCTTTGTAGGAAAATTAAGACTGCGTGTTCAACACCATGTGCGCGTAGTGTGCAAAATGTTCCAAACTTGCGCTCCTGTTGCTTGGAATGTCTCCAAAATACAGCGCAGCCGATGCGCGTCATGAAAATTTGACATCTTAAACAGCCCAAGTTTGAAGAGGAATTGTCAAATTTAATATTGTAGAATGTGTTAATTCAGCAGGAAAACAAGTACAATGCAAAATAAATCAGCCATTAAGGCAAAGTAAAAAAAAAAAGTTTCTCGTCCCCGCTTCAAGGCTTTTTTGGAGGCCCCCTGGATTTTTTTATTTTTTTTTATTTTTGAAAAATGCAGTAAAAAAAACACCGAAAAAGTCCACAAATTCATCGGAAAATAAATTGTAGACCAATACAAGTCTAAATGACACCGTAAATATGTTCATTTCTCTTGTCCAACTTATCTATCATTTTAAAAGTGTCTTTGAACAGTGGATACACCAATAGTTGCAGGAAATTTTTAAATGGCGGCCATCTTGAAACAAACAAAAAAATAGAAAGCCCCGCTTCCTCCTTTTTTTCAAAAACCCGGACGAGAAACATGTTTGTTTTTTTACTCGACCTAATGAAACAGAACATACTCGTTGTCTGGAGGATATCATGAGAAATACCCATTGTATTAAAGTGAAATTTCCTCTGTTATAAACTGATCATGACATTTTTGTGAAGCCTGAAAAATTTTAACAGAATATCAAACAATACAGTTAATGTAACTAAAACAAACTGTTTCTAGCGAGAAAATTGCAATGCAAAATAATGCAAAAAAAAAGTCCCGAAAAAACCCCACACACTGGTTTTTGAGACGATGTCTATTTAATTTCAACAGCAAATTATTTCAATTAATATAACAAAAACAATGAAGTGTGTTCTGCGTGAAAATTTAAATTGGAATGAAAAATATTCTTAATACGCAACAAGAACAACACATTTGTGTGGACGACAATTCTGGAAATATATGCTGAGCTTGATTAAAAATGTGTCCATCGATTGTTCATAAAGTAAAGTCTTCAATTAAAAACTCCATAGAATTTCAAGAGGAATCGTGTAACAATTAAAAAACGATTAAATATTTAGAAAAGTACTAATGTAAAATATAATCGAAGCCGTAGAAACTTTGCATTATACTGTTGCACTGAGAAACAAATCTAAGATTTCCACACATTCAGGCGTACCTCTAAAAATTAAGTGTAAAAATTACTCCTGTTTAAAAATCCTGAAATTTTCACCGGCACCAGACTATCATGTGACCTCTAAACACCTTGACAGGAGAGGGCGATAAGCCATACAAAATCATTGAAGCATGAAAACCCAGTTTGACGGCACACTACACGGTCAAGTGAGGAAGGCCCTTCAACCAGGTTGCATCGAGACCCTCAGGCTAAGAAGTCTACCTCCACCTCACACACTACTGGTAACCAGCATTCCAGCAGTCTTATGTGGTCTCTAGCAGGCTTCAACAAGTGTAGCAATCTCCAAAAAAGGAAAAGGCTAACTACCAGTCTGACTGATGATTGGCTGCGAAGACAGATCTGAACTTACAGGACAGGGCAGGGCTTCAAAAAAGAAGTCTGAAAATTCAGTCAAAAATTTAGTCCACCTAATATGAGGAAATTATGTTCCCAAATCTAAGTCCAGCCAAATAAACTCTAAGTCCAAAAATCCCCAAGACCCTCCCTAGTCCCATCAACTTGCAGACCTATCAGTCAGGAAGCCCTTCAACTAATATTCCAGTTCCCTCTCAACCATCAACCAGTCAGCCCAAAGTCCCAAAGCCTACCCTCCAGCTCCAAACCCCTTCAGCTCCCAACTTCTCAACCTCCCAGCCTCAGACCCTCAGATCTGAAAAAATTTCAAGGGGTACCCCTTGATTTCTGAAATTCTGGCCAAAGCTGAAAAATTTTCTAAGTCCAACAACCTAAGGGTTTTAATTACGATAACCGGAGATTTTTTCAAGAAAGTGCCATGGCAGAGCGGGAAAAAAGAGAGCTGGCATGCAGAAGGTACGCGGTTCAACCCTGCTCCATGCTACTATTTTATATATTTTTAAAATTTTATCACTGCTGTGAGGAAAAATTCTCCTCCCGGGTTCCCGGCTGGGTTTTGAACCGGGGACCCAGCGCCTGGCGGTCAGCGAGCTAGACCGCCACGCCACTGGCCTCTTCGAAAATTTGTTCTCGGAACTTATATTTAAAGGTTAGATTGCGCAATATAAAAAAAAGAAAAAAAAATGGCCACCTGGGCTCATTTGAATAATTGAATAATAAAAAGCAGAAAACTGAATATTCAGAAGGAAACAACAGATCCGAAATTCTGATTCTCAAATTTAGCCATTTATTCCATATACTTTCTATTGTTGGCCATTATGTACACTTTTTACAAACCTATTTCACACTTTTTTTTAAAAGTTAATAATTATTACAGTTTGTAACCTATGCGTACATGTATTTAACAAGAAACACAATTCTGTTTAATAAATGTCCATTAATTTACCTAATTTGTCAATGCTCAATATTTAAATAGCAAGTCCTACGTTAAATTTGTTCAAATTTTATTCTTCCGGGGGGGGGGGGAGGGGGGCAAAAAATGGTTTTTAACTATAAAAGGCCAAACTTTTGTTTGAATGTGGAAATGGAGTTTTTAAATTTGGTAATCTCGATTTTACTTAAAATTGTCAGTGATTTTTGCCTCAAATCATATACAACTATTTTTTTCAAATTCTGAAATGTTTTAACCACTTCAAAAAGAAAGAACAATACCAGTTCCAATACAGTAACGCCTTATTTCAGGAATAATTGCTTTTACAACTAAATTTAAATAAGTTAAACATTGATTTACAAACATGTTACAGATAATATATGCATACTGCCCTCTATAGACCAAATATTTTAACTGTGTCTATCTGGCTAGATTATTATGCCAATTCATTTTAGAATGCTCAAATTATTTCAAAAACACTTTCCATTTCCCTTTTCTTTCCATAAATTTAAGGACATCTCAAAAAGCAAATATTTATGGATTTTGTTTCCTTAAAACATGGATTTTTGCTCCCAGAACTTTTTTCTATTAGGAATGTAGTTTCAAAATGTCACTTTACAAAAAGACAGTTTCAATTGTATATTGCAAAGAAGTTACTAATGTTTAACTTTCTTGTTTGATAACATATTTTACATCACACAAATTTGGCTTGATTTCATTCATGTCAACCATATCTTACACCTTGTAACAAAGCACTCCTATGCATCATGTTTAAACCAATCGTTAGTGTGGATCATACACTTTGAGTTTAAATAATCACATTAGTAAAATTGTATTTATATTCCTTTTATTTATATAAATAGTTTGATTGTAAAGCGCCAGGGAGCACTTTTGAAATGGATTCTGCGCTACGAACTTCAATTATTATTATTAAACATTAATTCATTCATTAAACAGTCATTAGCAATTCATGGGCAATAGAGGGCGCTCCTCATTGAGACTAATTTTTATTTACCACAACTAGGGTGCACAACTGTGTACAACATTTTTTAACTTTCTCTCATTGATATACAAACAAAAATCTCAATTTTAAATTTAAACAAATGATAACTACACAAATGAACAGAAATACAATAATGTCAATTAACTTATTGGGCAAAACCAGAAAATCTACAGTTTTAGCAAGTATATGGGCAATTCCATGGTGACAGACATTAGAGAGTTTCTGCAGGTTTCAAATTCGCATCAGTATCACGATTCAGAACATTTTACGCGTGACGCCATCACTTCAATTCTTCTCGTACGCTAATCGATAAAGTGACATAGGGTTTTAATTCAAATTTTTCTCTTAAAGAAAAATGATAACCACCTCTCATTCTTAATTTTATGATGTACAAGACATAACGTCTGATTGCAATTAGAAGTAAAAGAGTGAATTTTTCAAGGTGTACGGTGAATTTTTAGCATTTTTGTGACAAGAAATTATAACGTCATTTTCTCAATAGGTTTACACAGAGACGCCATGCCAAAAACTGAGATTTGAACACGCCAGTATGTTTGCGTACACTAATCAGCCGCATCATATAATTCCAATACGCATCATTTTTGGGGGGATGAAGTGTTTTTACATTTTTCAACCTGTAGACGCATTGATCTTTTCTGTCCTTCGCTTACTGAACTCTTTCTTTATTGTGACCGACATTACATAAAAAAACAACACAGGAAACAAATGATAGATCAAATTTGAAATTTCTCTTAATGTTAAAGGCCAAAGGATGTCATATTTTATTTCTCATATAATTTATAGCCAGTATAACACTTTATACATGTACAAAGATGTAAAATGAAAGTTTTTATAATCATAATAATTGAGAAATGAGACACTGTGTGTTGAATAGTTTCTGTTCAGGTCAAGTTTTATTTTCTTTATAAATTTCCAACAGTGACTGTATGCAAGAACAAAATAATTTTTCAATATCCGAACTCAGAGAGTTTTAGAATTTATCAAAAACAAAAACGCAATAAAATACCTACATGTACATACCATCAACACCAAAAGTAACTGATCATAAAGCTAATTAAGTGACAAATTTTGCGAAGCGACCATTATAATATTAAAGTTGTCTCCAATAAAAACTGTGTAAATAGACTTGCATCATATTTTCTGTGTTTCTAAAAATTTTGAGGTCTCAACATGTTTAACAAATTCCATGCTCAATTTTAACTATTTTTCTCATAGTATTATTCTTGCTCACTTATGAAACTCCTCATGTTCTGTTCTTTTCTGTCTATTCCTCTTTCATTTGTTCCTCTTGTGGTCTTCATACCATCATTTTCTTCCAAGTTTTGTTTCTGCTGTGTCTTTCTCTCTGCTGCTGTAAGTTGCAACTTGGCTGTACATCTTTCCTGAAAATATGAAACATTCAACTGAATTAATCATAATTTGTACATGTTTACATTAACACAATTTTACTTGCTATTTTCCTAGCAATACTAAAGTTATCCAATGAACCAACAACAAAACAAATGAAATAAGTTAGCCAATGTTAAGTAATAAATAGGGAATTATGAAAATCAAACTATTTGGTGCCAAACAATAATTCAGTTCTTACAGGGAAGACTTCCCCCACCCCACCCCATTAGAATGGGCAATGATAGACGACTTGTACCCAACAGCAAAACACATACATTTTTCATTTTATCAAAGGGTTGCAGATGTCCAAGTTTAAAAAGGCTGTTTTGTGAAAAATATACAAGTTGCTCAGACAGTGGCTTTGCACTCAGTTGCATTTTGGTTCAAAGAGTTTACTACTTGTATGTGTATGGACTTAAATAACATGTGTACTTGCATTTTCCTCAACTACAGACTGTGCAATAATGTGACTGGCATTACGTTACGCTGAGAGATTGTGACTGCATGACATTACATGTGACGACATTACAATATTTCATGGCTAGCCTAAGCATTAAAACTAAAATGTAAACAAAATATTTTTTTTTAAATAAACTTGTCAGGACTCAAGCTAATAAATTTGTAACAATTATTCATTCGTCAGACAATGTAGGTATTTACAAAGAAAAAAAATCAGTTTTGGTAACTTATAAATATTTAAATTTGTATTTTAGTATACAAGCAAAATCTGACTTATATTGACATCTTAAAAATAATATCCATTTTCACAAAGATGCCTTCAAAATGGTAACATAAAAATTTGAGAGAAAATATTACAGAATAGATAGCAAAAGACTAATTCAAAATTCCTTACCAGTGCATCCATATTAAAGTCATCATGACGTCATTGCAGACTTTGATGTGATGGTGTACCGTAACTCGCAGAATAGTGCGCGCATGGGACGAAACTATTTCAGTTTTAAAACGCCGAGCTATATTGTGTCACTTCAGCAAATCAAACTTGAACAAACCGTAAATGGTTGTTTGGTCTTGTGTCTCCACCAGCATGGAATTGCCCATGTGACCTTTTTTTCTCATTTAACAGCCTAGTACATTCTAAATAGGCCCAAGGCACCTTGGATGTAGTTTCTCTGATGTTTGATGTCATCACAAAGTGGTGCAGTTTCAAGGGCATTCCAGCATCAAGAGCAACATCTTCTTGGTAAGAGCAGGAAAACCTGAAATTCAATTAAAAATTGAAAATTAAATATACGTAACATATACACATGCAGTTAATGATTTGTTTTTCAGATTTTTGCAGGATTTTGTAGCTTTTGAGGCTCCACTAAAATGGGAGAACAACTATAATAATAGTAGGTAGGGAGGAGTTTTGAAGATAGAGTTTAGAATTTTAGCTTCCTTTGTGTTCACATCTACAGCAAAATTTTAGTATGAATTTATCATCAACCCATAATTCACATAAACATTGTTGCAAAAGCAAGTACTCAAGTATATTGAACAAGTTCTTAGCTCACCTGAAACACATGCGTTCCTCTTCTTGTGGTTCTGATAACAGGCGCCTGATGACTTACTCAGGTTACTCAGGTCCTGTCTTATTGTAAGAGTGTGAAAAAATGAAATATAGATTAGTTATGGTAGATTAAATTACCTGCGAGGCTGTAGACATTGGTTATTATTATCCGAAACAAATAACTGACTTTTAGATGCAAGCAAAACGATACACATTTCATACACGTGAGCACACAGAATGGAAAGTTACAGAACAATTTGAGTGTTCATCACAGAGCTTGAGTTGGCATTGTAATCGTTGGACCATGCTCTGAATGACAGGTAGTGGTGTGTACGTGTTTGCAGCCAAGTAAGTGAGGGTGCCAAAGAGGGCTGATTCAAATTACCAGCTGCAGTCGGTTGTTGCCAAGAGAAAGTTACCAGAGTAAAACTCTCGGTCGGCGGCCCGCAGAACTGTGGTAATGCTCTTGGAGAGTATCTCCTTCCCCTTGGCCGTACGTGCGACTACTGAGCCATAACAGCAGCCACTGAAAGAGATAGGCAACAGGCCAACCACCATAATAGCCTGGGACCAGAGGGTTCAGATCTGCCCGCTCAAGCTGAAGTTGGCCAGCTCCCCCTCCGTACACTCGCTCATGAACTGAATGGTGCGGCAGACGACAGAAGACAGCTGCATGGTGGAGACACTGCAACCGGTATTGCCAGGTGAAGAGGAAATTCATACAGCTTGCGTGACTGTTTGACTGCAGCATCCTGGATGGGATCCGTCAGACCCAGACCGCCCACCATTCTGTCTGCAAAGATGTCATAGGTGGCGGTCCTCGTCAGAAGGATGCAAACTTTCCGCACCAACCTCACCACCTCATCCCTTAGCCACTTCAGACTTTTCTTCTGGCAATTGCTGGCAAGCAACACATACAAGGTGCACTATTCAATGGCAGTTTGTAGTGCGTCCAGCGTTTGCCAGAAAGCCAGGAGAGAGGATTTCACCTTGCCCAGATCTTCTGTCATCTTGGCCACCACTGCCTCAAGGTTCTCGTTACTTCTGCGACCCGATACGGACGTGACAGTAACGATATAATTCCTCAGTCAGTGCTGGAACATCGCTGCCTTGCACTTTGTAGACTGAGGGAAGCACTCACGGACCTCTGCGACACTCCAGGGACAGAGTGACACACTTCATTGGTCTGAATGTAAGCCACAGCTTGCTGGCCATGTCCAAAAGCAACCCGGCCTGCTCCCTCACCTAGCTGTGATGGAATTCCAGCGCCGCACATCAGTCACATGGATTCGGTTGCTCCCCCAGCACATACATGTACAGACCCTCATCTGTGTTATGAAAAACTGAAGGGCCCCAAACGGAGTGTTGGAGCACCAGGGCAACTCTCTCATCCACGTTAGAAGAACCCCGCAGGGAACTCCAGCATTCATCCGTGGAGTGTTGGGAAATGGCCAGATCTCACTTGATCCCAGTCCCGGCTGGGAAGTCCCTGATTCGTGCTCCTGGGAGACAGAGTGTTAGGCTAATGTCAGTACAGTCGTAATTAATTGACCAACCAAGCCATGGGCTGGGAGCGTTATATCCACAGGCTTGGAAGGTGTGTCATGAGGCCGCAGGAGAGCCCGGACAATCGGTGAAACAGACCCACTGCACTTGTGAGTTTGGTAGTGGTTGGAAACAGCTAGCCTGTCTGAGTCAAACTCCCACTGATAAACATACAAGGTGAAAGGAAACTAGAGAATGTACTGCTGGTGTTGTGTCAGCGTCTGCTGCAAGTGGTAGCTCTCCCGACACATGACACAATTCCAGTGACAGGATAGGAAAAGATTGGTCTCATTGTCTGAAGATCTTGGAGGCTGTGGATTTGAGATGGACCCGTGCCTGTAACGATGGAGTCCAAAAGCCGTAGGAATGATCTCCAGTACCACGTACAGGCGTTGGCCTGGCCCTTGTCCATGTTATGGTTGCCCTTGGGTTCCTGAGCATTCCTCCACGGAGTGTTGGGCACTTTCCCGGTCACTTCCCCAAACCCTCATCTGTGATACGATTACCCTGAGGGGTTCCCAAGCATGCATCCACAGAGTGTTGGGCCAGAGCCAGAATCCTCCCCTTATCCACCTTACTGTTGCCCAAAGGGGCGTCTGAGTGTTCCTTCGCGGAGTGTTGGAGATTGGCCGTGTAGTGATTCTTCTCCAGCAGCTTGTCTCCAGAGTTGTTCTCCATCATCCAGCTCCTAGACCCTCAACATTTTTTACCATCACAGGGAGCGTGGTCGATTGCTTGAATGACTGCAAGAACGATGACGTCCTGCGGACAATGTTTGTATTTGCAGTGACAGCTGGCTTTTCTGTGTGAAGAAGTTGCACTTCTGTCAGTGATGCAGGGGTACATGTAGACACAACTGAGTTGACCCTGGCTGACTGCTGTGGAGAAGCAACATCCATTATTTTGTCTGCAAGTTCAGCCAACTGTTCGATTTTGACGCTATCACAAGTAGGACATTTTGACTGAAGAAACAACTTGCATGCAATCTACTTCAAGCGATCTCCAGTAACTGGGTTGGTTGCATGTCACTGAGTATACACTTGCTGAAACCGTTTTTAGTTTTATTATCCGAAACAAATACCTGACTTTATGAAGCAAGTGAAATGGTAAACAAACAAGATAATTACACACATGCATAGAATGGAAAGTTACAGAATGAGTGAACTTGTTCACAGAGCTGTCTGAAGAAGGTGCACTAGCAACAACTTGGTTACTACAATGTTCAAGCAAGGATCTGATCCATTAATGGTGCCTAAAACCTCTACTGATCCATTTCAAGTAAATAGTTGATGTAACAACCACTTTGAATAAAGTTTATGCAACTGATCACTGATGCAGGCAGGGATGTGAAGTCAACCATTAATTTTATCCTTTGAATTTATTAGTTCTTGAGTTCTGAAAAAAAAAACCATTAAAACTACATTCTAAGCAAACCAAAGGCATCAAAATTTTGTCACCGACACCACAAACTGACACTCGGTTTTCACGAACTGAAACCAGTCTTAATGTACCAGTTTAAAGGATTCTAATTCATTTTTTGTGTAAGCCCACAAGTAAATGGATGGCGTAAATTTGTGTCGAACCCTTCAAAGCGTTTTTATATTGTATTTCCATCACATGCTTGTGTTTCATTGGGTAAAAAACTACATTATTCTATTACGAGTCAGTGTACTATTAAAGTGCGCGCACACACCCCCATGTAAGTTTGTGAAACTGAAATTATTGATAACACGGTTTTCAGGAACTGACTCCACATGCGTACATGTCAGTTTGTGAAAACAGTGAGGATTTACCTGATGTGTGATGTCACAAAGTAGTGCCGTTTCAGAGCATTTCAGCATCAAAAGCAGCTCATCTTTTAGGTCCAGGTATCGTGAAAACCTTAAATTGAAAATAAAAAGCGACATTAAAATTAATTATATATGTAAGTATTGGGACCGTACATGAACCGGCACGCAATCGCTCTTCAGGAGATATATAACAGGTGTTTCCACATGTTATTGATCGTCTATAAATCTAAGACTGGCGGGTCATTCATTCCTGATATAATGCAATCCTAAGCTGGCTGTTTTATCAAATCCTGCTTCATTGATCCACACTGGATCTGTCCCACACCTGTTAACCCCTTGATGCTGGTATTGTCAGCCACGGATCAGCGGCACTTTGAGTTTGAATGTGTACATGCAGGCATTTGGATATTGCCCATCAATGAATGCAGCAGGAATGCGGCCACAGCGTTCCCTGGCTCATCACCCTTCATTGAGCTGCAGTCACCGCCGTCAGCCAGCGTAAAGGGGTTAAATGATCACCTGCCTTTAGGTTTAGGCATTCTCCCGATGACAGTCACAGATCACTGACTAAATCTTCAAATCTTCAGAACCACTTCTCTTGTTAGTGACTGTCACTTCACATGCTGTTCATATAGAACTTTTCCCTAGTGATTTCTATCGTATTCAACATCACCTACCTAGGCGGAGTCAGCATCCAGGATCTCTAGTAGCTACCATTAAACATCAGCTTTGTTAACTTGAACTTTGCTCCTCCACCCCTACCTACCGACTTCCTCAACGGGATGTGCTCTAGCGCCCATCGCATGGCAGATGGCAGAGAGGTTGGAGCAAAACTACGTCACTGAAACATCCGTCTGTGGTGGCAAGAAATTGGAGATGCAGTGGAAGACCAGGAGACTACTGGTGAAAGATGCTGGTCATCACCTGGCTGTCAGCAACCTCCCTATGGATGCCACAGACAAAGAAAAGCAGACAATACCATCAACGCATGTCATTTGTAACCAGCATGCTTTATATGCAATTGTTGACCAGCTAGGAAGGCAGCTGCAGCTTGCGTGTGTCACACTTGATCAGCAAGTTTCTAATAATCAAACATTCAGTTAAGTGCAGTTTTGAAATCATCAGTTTGGAGTCATTGGTTTGTAGATCATTGCTGTGCTTTTACAGTCATTTTCCAATAATGTTGTTTGGTTTTTTACTTTTTTTCTTGCTGTCCATTTATCTAAACCTTAGTTTTTCTCAATATTCTCCAAAAATTGTATCCAATTGTTTATTATTTTTATCCTTGAAAGTTTTATTTTTCTCCTTGGCAAATTCATTTTGAGTTTTTAATTCGTTGTTTGATCCAGATTGAGATTGCTTTCATGTATTTAAGAGGAATTTTTTTTATTTAAGGATACAAATTGTTTTTGTGTGAAAGATCTTCTTTTTTTATCAGACTAAATTCAAAATTTGAGAAGTACATTGATTCCTTTTCTTCTTTGTCCCAGTTTCTAAAACTATATCGTGACAATCACTTCAACCAGGATTTTTTTCTTAGTGAGCCATTTTTTGCCATTACACAAGTATCAAACATCTTGGAGAAAATAACACAATTTTATGTGTTTGTATACAGTTAAAAAAATTACAATATTTACACAATACCACATATTTAACCAGTCGTAACCTAGAACAACATTCCATTTCAAACCTGAAAACCTAGCTTTCCCAGCACCACTTTCCCACCACCACTACTTCAAAAAGTTCTGATGAAGGTTGATTGGTCAGTCAGTTGTAAATCCACTCGTGAAAAACGCTCTCCTCTGCAAGGCTATCGTGCTGTCTGTGTGGTCCACCTGCAGAGGAAGATGTGAGATAGAAACAAAAGGCATATCAGAGTCAAGTCAACTTGAATTGGATTGAGAACAGTGGGGTCTTAGAATAGTGTTTATCAGATAGGGCTCATAGTGGATCATCAGACAATTTCAGAATTTGAGAACATCTCAACTACAAAGAAGAAATAAGACATCAATGTTGTAGTTACTATCAAGAGGACATGCAGACTTGAATTGATCTCAAGAGATTATGGAGACTATAATCTGATGACCACATTTGAAAGCAATTTCTGAGGTGGAACCAGTGGACACTTTCAGGGCATATGCACAATCAGCGAATCATTCGCAGTTTGAAAAATATGTTTACAACTTGCAAAACTGTCCTTCAAATACACATGTGTAAATCTTTGTGACCACAGCAGAGAGTCTAGTTAGTCTACTCTCTACCTTGGAAGTCAACTACAATTGCTCCTTGATTTCAAAGCACAAGTGCAAAATCATAGACCTTATTAAACTGGTAGTTCTTGCTAACAATGACTGCGGCAGATCTTGTCTCCTGCGTGTTTCTCAGAGCCCATACTGACTATCAGGAAAGGAAGGAAAGAAAAACAAGAAATTCATGTTTGATATCTTAAAGGAAATAAATAATCAGGGCTGAGAATGACCAACAAGCAAAATTCTTGACAAACAGGGGACTTTTAAATAAATTTGCAAAAATGCACTGCAAAACCAATTTTGGAACCATTACATGTTGAGAATCAATTCCTTCCAAAGTTGGAATGCATGTGAAAAGTACAAAATCTGACTTGAGAATGAATTTTTGCTCTGACAAGGACCTCTGAATTGGCAAATGTGCAATCATAATTTCATCCCTTTCTTAGGTTTATCTGTTCCCTTTGCTGTCTTGAATTGATCATCTTCAGATGTTTTGCTCACCTTTGATTAGAATGATTCATTGTCACCACAACAAATTCCTCTACAGCCTCTCATCTCCAGTGGGGAGGGGGGGGGGGGTAAACTGCAATAACACAATAACTTGCAAAATAAAATTATCCAGTGGCAAATTGTTGAATTTCTTTTTTAGATTAATCAATTAAACTGGAAAGTGTTCAGTTTTGAAACTTCTCAATTTGCTGATGCACCAGACAAAATAAATTTTTAACCGTCTCATGCATAGCATCAAAAGCCATTAATTTAGAATGCACTTCAAAGTACAGAATTTGATTTGTTCACATACAAATGTCCAATCGTAATTTCAGCCGTTTTGAAGATGTTTCTCCATTCCTTTTGCTGTCTATAATGATCAGTTGCAATCAGATGCTCACCTTGGATTGGTCAATCGGATTCCCCTGAAGTCGTTGGTTCATCGCTACTTTCCCTCTTCTCTCCAGTAAGCTTCTCATCCGTGGTAGCTTGTACCTTGCAGTGTTATCAAAAACAAAACAATCATTCAAGTGGTCAAGTTTTCAAAGTACATTTTGCACACAAATCTTGTCCACAATTTTGTACTTCCAATTGTAAACACAAAAGCAATTTTATTTGTTATATTTATTTAGCGTGCCCAGAGTTTTTAAGCTACAGATTCAGAACGCCAAGTGAAAACTGGAGTGAAATTTGGGAAGGTGGAATCAATTTCAATTTCAACAAAAAAAGGCCTTTGTTAATACCCACTCTGAACTCCAGTCAGAAAAAGAGGAGGAGATTGTTTTCCATTGTAAGAAAAGGTTTTAAAATCTTTCTCCAACAGAATGCTTTGGTTTGCTTGATGGAAAAAATAATAATCCAAGAAACAAATGGAATGCTCTTTTTGGTCTAAAATTGAAGTCCATTTTGACTGATTGGCAATAATTATGATGTTTGTTGAGAATTCATTTTTCAAAAGTTGCTAATTAAATTTCAAATTTCTTCAAAAAGTCATTCCTTCTTAAAATCTTACCTTGTTTTTAGATGTAACCCTTCTGGAAGCACATCCTGGTAAGATTAGTTTAAAAAGAACAATTTGGTTCGACTTACTCTGAACAAAACGAACGACTCCACTTGCAAACTGTAACAATCCCGGGGGGAACAAGAGCATGTGACCTTGAGCTGCAAAGAAAATGGTTACCTCACCTCAGTTAACATGCAACCTTGTTCCCCCTGCGCCGATGATTCCGAACAATCCAACGAATGACTCCACTTGCAAACTGTCACAATCCAAGGGGGGGGGGGGGGGGGACAAGTGCATGTGGCCCTGCAAAGAAATTGGTTACCTCACCTCAGTTAACATGCAACCTTGTCCCCCATGCCGACGATTCCGAGCAATCTATCAAACGACTCCACTTGCAAACTGTACACTTTCACAATCCAGGGGTCTCTTGTGGATGCTCACGTCTGCAGAAAATCAATGAAAATAAATTAATGTTCATTTAATTTGAAGTATTTTCCTTGTATTGCCTTTGGTCAAATAATGAAAAGCTGATATTTATAAAATACCAGATTAATTACATCTGCCATTTTTACACTCTAAAAACAGATTGGTTAACATAACCAATCATTGGTTAAATTAACCAACAATTGTTTGATATGTGTGGACCTAATCGGGTTGGTTGGATACATTTTAACCAACATTGGTTATTTAACCAATCTGTTTTTAGAATGACCTGTAGTGTCATGCCCCATAACATGCGTTAATTTGTGAAACAAACCCAAACCTAGTTAAATGATGCATTGCTATAGCATAAGCAAAATCCTTTTTAAGTATCTGACAATTAACAATGATTTTTTTTTGGGGGGGGGGGTTTACCTCCGAGGTTTCTGAGTGATACAGGCATCCACAGGTAGCGAGGATGGCGAATTCTACTTCTCCCAACATCAGAAAGTCACCAGAATCATTCCACGTGTCCAAACATCAGAAAGTCACCAGAATTCCACCTCTCCCACATCAGAATAGGCAGTGTTCCTCAAATTTCCAGTTGGTCCTTCCAAACAAGCATCGTCCTTCCAAACACGCACCGTCCTTCCAAATACGCATCGTCCTTCCAAACAAGCATCGTCCTTCCAAACAAGCATCGTCCTTCCAAACAAGCATCGTCCTTCCAATCAAGCATCGTCCTTCCAAACACGCATCGTCCTTCCAAACAAGCATCGTCCTTCCAAACAAGCATCGTCCTTCCAATCAAGCATCGTCCTTCCAAACACGCATCGTCCTTCCAAACAAGCATCGTCCTTCCAAACACGCATCGTCCTTCCAAACAAGCATCGTCCTTCCATTGAACAAGCATCGTCCTTCCAAACAAGCATCGTCCTTCCAAACAAGCATCGTCCTTCCAAACAAGCAGCGTCCTACCAAAACATGCATCGTCCTTCCAAACAAGTATCCAAACAAACTTCCAATATTGCATGGAGTTCAAGGTAGGCATGTTTTTCAGTTGTGCTTCCAAGACGAATGTATCAAGTTATGTTGCAGTTTGCAGCGAGTCCGCACTGGAGAAAAGCCATACTCACTAAACAGTCATGTCCATCCTTTGTTCCAAACTGGTCAGATGTGCAGCAGTATTGCCTGTACTGTTAATGTCCAAAGTTCATCCAGGGGCAACTTATAATTGGAGGTGATTTTCAGAGTTTCTCCAAAATGACTCTCACATTTTACTGCTCCGTATGTACATTGTCCCAAGTATGTCAAAGGCCCAACTTGAGTAAATGTCCTTCACGGTTTACCTAAATTTTTAAATCATGTGGTTATGGCAAACATGAAATGTGAGTTATCTTGTTTGTAACTATAATTTTAAAATAAAAGTGTTTCAGGTTTATGCCCTATACTTTCATATATTTCTTTTTATGAATGAAGTTTTTAAATTGCATTGTAAGATTGAACATCCTTTATTGTTTGGCTATTTATCATTTATATCATGTTCATACAGAATATTAATTAATTTCATTTGATTTTTTAGTCCATTTTTAACATTAAGATTGTTTTCTGAAGATTGTCTTTTTTTTTAGATTATGCTCTGAAAAAAATTTGTTTAAAGCATTTCCATTTCCTTTCTTGTTTGTGCTCATTATTTCAGCCAAATGTAAAAGTTGACTTGAATTGTTTGCTTTTCAATAAATTGTGTAAAAAATTTATGCTAAGAACTGCTTTTACTGGCAATCCAGCTTTGAAAAACTAAGAAGAAAATGCGCAAGTGAACTCAAGTTCCCAAGAAGCGTGGAATATTTGCCCAGTCCTTACAACATTTGGACAGGTCTGGTTAGTGGTTAATTAGGTGGTTTATGTTGTCAGTGCCAGTGGTTAATATGACTGTCTGTCAATGGATGCATGCAGATGATTGAATGACCTAACAAATGCTGCAAGGGTCCACAGTTTTACACAGAATAGTTGAAACAAAAATGACTTTGGCACACTTGAATGCTACCACATTGTAGTCAAAACTGGATTGCCATCCCAAGTGAGCTGCCTCACATCTAAAGCTAAATTTGACTTTTATGAGCTTTGCCCTTAGGTTTCACGGTTACATTTATGGTTCTGCTGATGCTTTCTAAATTAACTTAAAATCAAGTGGAAGACTTTAATAGTTTTAGGCACTGAACATTCTTAAATCTAAACAAATATTGATTTATTTATTAAAGTGAATTAAACATAGTTATACATATTTGAAGTTTAAATTTACTTTTATGAGCACTAACCTAATGTTAAGGTTAGGTTTACTGTGCAACTTTTTTTCAAGTTATTTTAAAATTGAACTTAATTAGTTCCAAGCATCTACGTGCTCGGGGTCTAAACATCACGAAGATTTAAACATTTGTTAATGTATTTGGAATGTATTTGGAATCAAATCACTCATTTCAGATTTCAGTTTTACTACATAACTCATAAGATTATTTCCATGCCCCAAGAAGTTGGCCCTATAGACTTTACTGGAGCTTTGTTCTGGAGCATATTAGTTCAATGAACAGAGTTTAACCATGACAAACCGAATGGCAAGGACTTTGAAAGTTGGGCATTCCTTCAGTTGAAGATCAGCTTTGTGTGGTTCCCATAAGCATTCTTGACAGCATCCACTTCATTGGCTCTGAGTCTGACTGTCATGATAACCACCTGCAAATAACAAGAGTGCAACTTATCAGTTTTCAATGGCAGACTTGTGAGAGCTACCATTCAGTACAGAACATTCAAGAGACATGCAGGCAAATAAAATAGAAATTTGAAGGATTAAGTGTCTAATTATTTAGCAGGTTAGATTTAGCTGGCTTTTTACAGTAAACGATATTTAGCCAGATAGATCATACAGCACCCCTTTTGACAGTATAAAATGTATCAATCAAATTACCAACATTGCTTGTGCATGTGCAAGACCTGTGGCCTAGTGGATAGCATGTGAATCTTATGAGTGAGAGATCCCCAGCACAGCAGGGTTCGATTCCCAGCTTTCGACATTTTCAATTTTTTTTCATCCCAAACAATTAAAAATATCCTTTTATTTATTTTAAATTGACTTGAACTCCAACATTTGATTACCGAGTATCGCATTTTCTTTTTCTGATTCTTGGCTCTGGAGGATTTTTTTTAATTAAAGGGAAATAAAGTCCGAAATTGTAAAATGGACAGATTCCGTCTCGTGAATACGAAGTCACAATGACAATTTTGGCGTGGAACTAGCCCCATAAATGTGGCCAGTTTACTGGACTGCCTCCATAAACATAGGCCACACATCCGCCATCACTGAACCTACTCACACAAGTTTGCAAAGTGATTTCAACATTGCGACTTCAGACCCAGTTCATTTATGCTTTAAAAATACACTCACCCTCTTAATAACGAAGAGTGCTTCCAGCGTCAGTTGCCCAGCTGCTGCGTAATTTACGATATTTTCTGGAGGCTTCTTGGCAACTTTTCGGTCCAACTGAACAATAACCTCGCGCAATACCTGACGGGATACGAACCAATATGCAGGGATCGTTCACCCGTCTGTCAATCACGCGTGTACGAGGCACGCCACAGGCCCGGTGGTAGTCCGTTTCCCAGACCTGACAATTTAAATAAGGTTAGGCTGCATCCGAATAAACTGTCTAGCAACCTCGTCCCCAGGGTGTCGAGCAGTACGCGCCCACCACTACCTGCTCTCTCACCCTGGTATTGGATCATTTGCATGTGCAAGATTTTTGCACACGTATGCAAATGAGGAACAGTCTGGTGCCTGGATATGCGTTACACATTAGCGTTTGTTTTTGTATGCGGTGTCTGGGGTAAAAACAGAGTCAATTCGTAGCAGCGCGAGCACGGCGTGAGTTACGAAAACACGATTTTTGAAATCAAACTGTTACGATCTTATCAAGACAACATGCAGTATCATATTTCATATTAATATGAGCAAATTGGAAAGGAAATTAGTATTTTCGAGAAGGCGTGGACAAATGATCGCGAAAACACGTACTGCACGTTGTGAATATATAGCACCAAGTACACGATAAAAATCCATTACTAGCCAATTGCGGTATCCAATCAGGATACAGGAAGAAAGTTTCCTATCCAGGGTTTACTATTGGAAACGCGGTTGGAAATAAAGTAAGCACTGGGGACGAGGTTGACTGTCTAGAGCTAGGTCTAGGTCCACGCCCATCAGGAATAGTCAGAATCTTTTGGTCTGGGAACCGGACTACTACCGGGCCTGCGGCGTGCCTCGTGCACGCGTGATTGACAGGTGAACGATCCCTGCATATTGGTTCGTATCCCGTCAGGTATTGCGCGAGGTTATTGTTCAGTTGGACCGAAAAGTTGCCAAGAAGCCTCCAGAAAATATCGTAAATTACGCAGCAGCTGGGCAACTGACACTGGAAGCAGGCTCAAACTTTGTTATTAAGAGGGTGAGTGTATTTTTAAAGCATAAATGAACTGGGTCTGAAGTCGCAATGTGGAAATCACTTTGCAAACTTGTGCGAGTAGGTTCAGTGATGGCGGATGTGTGGCCTATGTTTACGGAGGCAGTCCAGTAAACTGGCCACATTAATTTTATGGGGCTAGCGTGGAACTAGACAAACATTTATCACGGTAAAAATGTCTAAGTCACTGCGCATGTTCAGTGCCTATCTGGCAAAATATCGTTCGCTTCAAGAAAGCCGGCCCCGGCTAAATATACTCCCACTGCCAAATTTGAACATCAATAAAAAAGACAAGTCTGGGGATTTTCTAGCCCCGCTAGTGTGGCCGCGGTATGCTGCGCTGAACCTCTGGCCACACACCGTGGTACCGCGCACTACTGAGGACGAAGTTTTCAAAATAATTACGGTCCGTTTCTTACATATGGTTGTATTCTATGATGTCCTATCTATCACTTCTGGGATGCTTAGGTGTAATGATGTTCAATTTTCCGAGATATTCTTGAATCTTTCTGGAGCCCATATGCACTTGTGAAACGTCTGGCGATGGCAGCCATTTTGAATGTGACAAGAGATGACCTCAAGCTGTGACGTCGCGTTTATGCAAATTGCTTGTCAGTGAGGGCGCGAGTTGCAAATGCGACGGCTGTTTCCTGTGCCGTGGATCCTGAATAAAGATCAGTGCACGTGGCCCCCAGACAATAAATGCATGGTACAGGAAACAGCCGTCGCATTTGCAACTCGCGCCCTCGCTCGACAAGCAATTTGCATAAACGCGACGTCACAGCTTGAGGTCATCTCTTGTCACATTCAAAATGGCTGCCATCGCCAGACGTTTCACGAGTGTATATGGGCTACAGAAAGATTCAAGAATATCTCGGAAAATTGAACATCATTACACCTAAGCATCCCAGAAGTGATAGATGGGACATCAAAGAATACAACCATATGTAACTTAAGGCCAAAAAAAATAAGTCTCCGGTTTCTGGTATGGAGCTTGTCCAAAAAGTGGTGCGGCGACGCGGTTTTTTTTTTTTTTACCTGACTTTTTTGCTTCAAACGTCGGCTGATGACTGCCAATGGTGCCCGACTAAACTTGGTGCAAATATATGGGAGTCCAGAGAGGACACATAAAGCTTATTCTCGATCATAACCCCATCTAAAAACACGTTAAAATTGTGCAGTAGCAGGATTCCAGTCAAACCAGTGAGTTTGGCAGTTTTGAGACATCATCTTTCATTGAAAAAAAAACTTTTTCATTTTGCCGACGCGCATGGCTACGGCGACGCGCGCGCATACCAGAAACCGGAGACTTTTTTTTTTTGGCCTAAGAAACGGAACGTAATTTTTATGAAAACGCCCTCAGTAGTGCGCGGACCACGGTGTGTGGCCAGAGGTTCAGCGCAGCATACCGCGGCCACACTAGTGGGGCTAGGGATTTTCCTGTTTTTATCCATGCCCAGCACGCATTGCAAATGTCATCAATGTTTACTTTATCCTTTTGCCCCTCCTGCCTCCTTCCAATTCCATATAACCCGTTGGTTCCCACCCCAGCCCCCCCCCCCCGCAGACAAATTTCTGAAACCACGCCCATTTCCAGATTCTCAGAAAATGGAGAAAATAACTGACAGAATTCCTTCTTTAAAAACTCAGGATTTCGAACCGTGTTTTCCACTGCATCAACTTCAGAAGAATCTACAGTAGTGCAGTCACTTCTACCTAACTTTTTAAGGCCAAATTGTTAACTTTTCAGGCCAAAATTGTCAAACTTACTTTGACTGTTGTGACGTTCTCTCGAAGTCCTCCACCATACGTGCCCCGCCAATTTACGAACGCGCAACGAATCACGTGAGACTGGTTGGTGAGCACATTCCCTGGTTCCTGTAATATTGCAATGATTTCAAAAGCATTGATGAGAGGTGCGAACCAGTTATTTCTGCAGCGCCGCGCCTATCTTATCGCTGAAACTACCCGGCAATATTTTGTAGGGTGTATTTCAGTTTCTTTTAGCTTGGGAGTAAAAGTTGGGTTTTTTTTCTTACTCACAATTTTTGCATACCATCTTTACAAATTCTCTCAAATTTTATAAAACAATATTGGAGACATGTATCTAAGAACAAGATCGTCTTCAATAGTTTGCTTAGATTTTTTATTTTGAACTGAGTCCCCTAATTTTTGTAGTGATCGATGGTTCACCCCTCCCATTAATTTGGTATAGCCAGGACTGAGCGGAATGTATATGCAAATTGGACTGCGGTCCCCTCCCTCCCCCCCCCCTCACGACACCCAATGACATTTTTAGAGTGTTGCGATGTCCATATTCCTCTATTTCAATAATATTCCTCCATTCAATATTTAATATTTAATATCTATATTCCTCTATTTAATAAATTCAGCCATAGAGGGCGGGCTTTGGATTGCGGCGAAATTAACTTGTCCTCTGATAACCCCACCTCCAACCATAAATAATATAGACAGCTTATATTAAGGGACTAGGGAATTCAAACAAAAAGTGCGTTTTGCTCTTTAAAGTTGAGTTGTTTTTTGGTAGTGGGGCCTAGACAACAAGTATCGTTCATTCATGAAAGGGGGATGAATTGAATGGGGGGGGGGGGGGGGGGGGGTTGATTGGTAAAGCTCTATTTTGTGGTGTTCATTGGGTGCTAGAAAAATATTTAAAAGGCTTTTTGTTTTCAAATAAGAGTCACCGTGGTGTCGCTAAGCCCACAACAGCAAAACACAACAGGTCCACACCAAAACAATGTAATGAAACAATGAATAATTCAAGACAACTTCAACTTATTTAAAGTTGTCTTGAATTAATCAAAGAAGCCGTCTTCTTGCAGACCGAAGTGGGGGCCACCAGAAATGCCTTTTTAGATAATCCACCAGGGAACAAGTGAAGACGATTGTTTTTTTATACGAAATTGTAGTCTATTCATCCCCGTTGCCACTTGATAATACAAATAATGAAAAGAAAGGAAACACTGCACCCCTCCCATAAAATACGATCTAGCCCCGCCCCCTCCACATAAGGAATTGGCAACAATTGGCCTGTCGGCTATTTCTTAATCCCCCAACAATAAATGCTTCTGGATCCATCAGTGATTTAGCTGTCTAATCATTTTTTTGTAATTGCATGAAGTAAATTTGTGATTGTGTTGATATATTTTCTAAGGAATTTCTTTTGATATCCTCATTATGAAGCCTGCATGCCTGATTACAAAACCCAAGTGGTGACCCAGCTGTAGAATTCAGAGGCGGGAGATTGGTCCATCACTGAGGGAGGAATGGAGGCATAATACAACAATCATCTAACCTCAAAGATTTCTCCTTGATTAACTCAAGTCATTGCATGTAATGATTTATTACACGACAATAATCATACAAAGTATACACAATGTCAAATAACAATCCCGGGCCGTCTTAAACTTTGCCCAAAATATCTGGAAAAACAAAAGAAGAGATCAGAAATGTTTCTACACCAATAACAAATAATACAAATGACTTACAAATGCCAACATATATCTACTCATAGTTAACCAAAAAACTTACTTCCGCCAAACGGTGCAAATATCAGATACTTAATTTTTATTTTCAAGTTAAGACAAGATAAGTTTGCGGTAGAACCATGTGAATAAATCTCTTTTGTGAGTATGTGTGGTTCTGAAAAGAACCGGAGGGACCTAATGTTTCGAACAGTATGCTCTGCCCGTCGTCAGGAGAATGACGCGATGTTATAAGGATGGGTGCGGTGAGGCGTGAGAAGGATGCAAACTGGTGAAGCTCGAAACCGGTGAAACTGAGAAGGATGCAAGTTGACTGATTTATTCATATGGTGCTACCGCAAACTTATCTTGTCTTAGTATCTTTCCACCATGCAAACCTTCAAATCTTATTTTCAAGTTAAATAAAGAAATTGACTGTAGCAGGATGACCGTTCCGGATTACCGTACCGGAACAGGAATCCGGAGGTCACAGGGTCAAACCAGCTCCAGTCAATTTCTTTGTTCAACTTTCAAGTTATTATAATGCACCAAGTCAGTTCTCCTTTGTGGTTTATTTTTATGACTGAAACCAAACTATCCAGATGTCAGCAGATTATCTTGACTTGGAGTTCGTGCCCGAATGATGACCTTATCTTACAGAGTTGCACATTAATGATCACAAGATAAAAATCACAATTATGTACTTTGTAAACCATGGCTTAAAGGCATATAGAAACATTTGTATTTTATGCAATTTGTTCGTTTCCGATACATTGTGATATCATCACTGTTCCACAGAAGAATACTCAAAACCTAACATGTTGAAGCTTTGGATATTACACTTTTCAAGAAAAGAGTGAAATATCCATGCATAAACTTTTGATCAATAAACGTGATTTCATCCATAGAACTCTTATTTCAAAAATCAGTCAATTGACTTATCATTGGAAATCACCTACATTCCTTGATTTCTTCTTAATGACAGCAAGCCAGATGGAATAATTTCACAGGGTGTTTAGTACCAGTACGATCTTTAATCCAAGTGAGCTTTTTGATTACAATTCGGTAGGTTACTTTTGGGATAAATGCAAATGATCCCATCCCATATCCCTTGAAGTGTGTAAATCAATGAGAACAAAATCCCTGTCACTTAAAACCTGTAATCAGTTCGGCTTTGCAGTTACAGTGTGTTAATCTCATTTTAATCAAAATCTTCTTTCATGTGTCATGCCAGCAACAACAGTTAAACATTATTTACATTCCGTTTACATTTCCAATGTGAATAAATTCAAAGTCTACTTTTTCTCTCCTGCAGAACGACTTTTACCAAATTGAACGGTTGCATTTGGGCATGTTATAAACGACTGTTATCACCTGGGCAACTGCAAAATATCAAAACTGTTAGAAACAAAAATGTCAGTTTTTGTACAGAATATTGATCATACTTGGAACAAACCAATATAGTGTAGATCAATACATTGAAGAAGCTTGCAATGATAAAAACAAGCAAATTGTCCACTTGTTCCTATTTCAACATAATCAGAAACACAGAAACATTTGCGCGTATACAACAATTGCAATGATTGGTCCTGAATGAGCAAACATGACTGTCCTCTGACAAAAATGTGTCATTTGGCAATGCAACATTCTACATGTATATATTATACATGAATTGTTTGACAGTATGAACACTGGTTTAGTAATTCTCAATATGGACATAGGCCTATACATGTAGTTGAATAGTAAACAAAATCCATGTTATACTGTCCTTACACAACTGGACCACTTTAAAGGTATATTACATAAACAGTCAAGGTTAAAGATCTACACAAAAGTTAGCAAACTGGAATCATAATTTTTGCCATTTTTGCGTAATTTGTTTATTTACAGAAACTATTTGATAAAGAATGAAGCACAAACACTCAAAAGAAACGTCTGTTTGAAAGGCGTGAAGTTGCAAGAATTTTCCAAATTTGTACATAAGACAAACGCAAATAATTCAAAAGTACCCAAGGTTTGGGGTATTTTTTGGTACACTAAATTTTGCACAGCACTGGTCTATGGAAGGGTGTCGTGCAGCCATTTGCGTGTGGTCACATTTATAGTTTGTTTGAATGCCATATTACTACATTGATCGGATAACAGGGTAGGAGGAGGCCTTTGTTACAAAAGTTGAAGACATCTCACACAACTTTCACCTAAGATGATGCGATACAAGATAATTTCTTAAAAGCAATGGAAAGGAGAGGTGGATTCTCCTGTTTAATTGACGATTAGATTGAAGATTTATAATAGTACTCAGAGGTCACCCAAGATACATGGTCAATTTAATATCACTTTCAAGTGACACCCAGAATGCTTAGTACAGTGCTATTATGTTTGAAGATTTCAATGAATCATTTTGTACAGGAATTGTTGATTGACTTTCACAGTGATTGATTAATTGATGGATTGAATTTTTTTTTTGGGGGGGGGTGGAGGTTCAGTAGAATGAAGAACTATGCTTGGTATATTTGTATTCATAATGTAAGAGGATTCCGAATACATCTATTTGTATTGAAACCCTTTTGTTGACTTTTTATTCATTATCGAGCCCCTTATTGTCCTCTGAAAATAAAGTTTTTGTTGTTATTGATTGTTAGTTGTTTTTTTACTTATTCCTTTTTTTTGGGGGGGGGGAGGGGAGGGGGTTGCAGAGCATTGATTTCACGTAAAATGACCGATGATATATGCTACTTGTTTCAATTTGATGCGGCTTGTGAGCGTGGTGCATTCATAGGGAACAGGTGAGAGTTATGACTTGGTGGGCGATTAATAGGCTTTGAAATATCCCTCTTCTGTTTCCTTCAGGTGAGGGAGGTCTTGACTGACAACTTGTCTGATGAGCTCAGCATCGAGACCGATGTTACTAAGTTTCAAAAGACGTAACTTCGGGAGACCTTGGAGATGCTGGGTGAGAGCCCTCACTGCATCCAAACTGAATGCATTGCCATCAAGGGCAAGCCCTAGTAAACCATGCCCAGTAGGAATGATACTGATCAGGTCCTCCACGTCATCATCTACCAACCTGCATGCAGGGAGCCCCAAGCCTGTAAGGGATGACGAGATGTGGCTAACATTTCGCACCCGTGCATGCAGGTCGGTGTCATACAGTATGTGCCAATCCAACCTGCATCCTTCCAGTGCCTTCAATAGATCAACAACCTCATCCAGTGATCGTTGGTGCATATACAAACCAAGCCTGCCTATTTGTTCCTGCATGCGGAAAAAGCTGTGTGATACACGCCCCACATCAAACCATGACTTTGCCTCAATGCGAACCACCATTTGTAATTGAGCACGGCGCTGTTCATCCACCACATATAGTGTTTCCTCAAGGAGGCTAAGCTCCTCCTTCTGCTCAGACAAGTAGTAGTCAACATTTATATGCTTAGCTGACTTCATGCTGTCACTCACAAGAATTCCCCTGAGAAGGGTAAGCTCCTGCTTTCTTACATGCATGAAAAAATCTGTACCTTCAAGTGACGGAGTGACATGTAAGTAGTAGCTCAGTGATTTCAGGTCTTCATTACTCTTGCAGTCCACCACAGTTGGTCTGACTAGTTTGGTTGCCAACTCTTCTGAACCAGACTCAATCAACAGTAGCCTAGCCAATCTCTGCAGTTTCATCTCGTCACCTTGCATCTCTTGTATGTGATCCAGAATGAGACCAGCTGCCTGCATTGATCTACCGCAACAAAATCGCAGCAGGTATTCCATCGCAAGAACATTGCGTTCTCCAATCTGCTTCAACTGATGACGGAAATTGTTTTCATCATCTAGCAATTTCACCAGGTGACATGCTGCAAAGTATTCTTGGATGGTCTTGTGGATGAAAGTGACCAACATCTTTACATCCAGACCACTAGTGTATGTTTCATACTGAACGAAACCCACACGACAACCCTCATCTAAGCAAGACTGACAATCCTGAAATTCATTTTTATCGAACATGAGTCTTTCCCCTCGAGAGTCTAATAACCCTTGCAATGCAACACGCCCCAAGCCATCAATAATGGACATCATGTCAGACATCACCTGATCATCATTCATATCTTTATTGCAGCGCTTGAAAAGAGCCAATGCAAACTCAGTGTACAGCTCAGTAATTCTCTCTGGCAAGGACTTTTGATTCTTCCAAACAAGGCACAACATCTGGGAAATGATTGGCAATGCAGATATATCCCTCAGATTGGTATTGTCATTCAGATATGAAATCAATGCCTCTCCCATGTCAGCATCATCAGAAAGGTTTAATCTGATGTATTGATCTCTGTCTTGTGGTGTAAAGCCACATGCCTCAACAACTGCGTACTTTTGGTGACCCCTCAATACGTATTGAGTCATGTGTGGTCGGGTAGTTACCAACACAAAACTTTTTGTAAGGACTCTGTTGTGTAAGATATCCTGAACCCTGTACACGCCCTCCTCAGATTGCAAAACATGAGATGGAATTTCATCTAATCCGTCCAACAGCAAAACAATGCCTGATTCATGATCATCAATGAACCCTTTCACTATGTGTTTCGTCAGTTTGGTGTTTCGAGCTAGAAGTTGGTCAAATATGGCATCCAAGACACAACTAGATTGCTGCATTTGCCTCAGCTTTATCCAAAGCACAAGATCGAATCTACCAAGAAGGGGTTTTGAACTAAGTGTGATGCAAGAGTTTGCAACTTTCACTAACAGGGTTGATTTACCCGTCCCGGCCCCACCAGAAAGAAGAATCTTGATTTCCTTAACTACTTCTGGATTTAACAAATCATCCAAGGAATTGAGAGTAATAGTTTGATTTGCATCTAACAATCTTTCTCCTTCTCGTAATGTCACAAACCTGTCCGATTTTGTTTTGCCTGGAATGTTCTTTCTGAGAAACAGCGGAATAAAGAATTCAATATCTACATTACGTGTCTCCAGTACAGGGTGTGCAGGAATAGTCGTTGCAGTTTGCTTGTAGTTGTCAATAATTTGTTGTCGCAAGTAGGCAAAGGTATATGGCCCCTGGAGTCCGGTGATTTCTGAAACAAATCATACAATTGTGATGAGTAATTTACAAGAGAACAGATGAACATGATTCATCACAATTCTTTCAAGCCACAATTCAACAAAGCCGACCAATCTGCAGGTCCATTTTCCAAGTCCACATACTACCTATTTTTTTTCTACATTTTTTCTCTTTATCCACATAAGCATGGAATTTGTTTTCCCATTGAGTGCAGTAAAATGTACACTTAGAAATTTTGCCTAAGATGAAATTCACTTATCCAGATTTTTGTTGTTGTTTTTTTGGCGTCCCTGAGATGACAATATTGATTAAACAGTCCCTTACAAATCTTTAAATGAACAAAACTGTAATGAAGTCAACGTAAAATTGTTGATCACGTCATCAATTGGACAATGAAAGGACGAACTGTTGCTGGCAGAAAGTTCAACCCAAAGAAATCACAACATATCATACTGCGCATTGTTCTGAGGCCATATTTGTTATTGTCAGGAGAAATTTGTTCTTAACAGTGTGATTTTACGTTTACCCAACATCCACTGAATCAAACACTTGTTATTGGTGTTCATATGTGGGCGTATCTATACGAGTGCATGAAGACTGAAGACATGAAATACAATGTAACCTAAATTGTGATTACTACGGGAAAAACTAAAGTATTTGCTGAAGAAATGAGCAATGTGCGTTTCTCGTTAAATATTGTTTTAATGTGATTACGTGTTTCCCCTTTCAAACTTTCTGAGGACCGAAATTTGGCTTATGAAATAGGAATTGATTACCTATAAGACAGTAATTCGTGTTCACAAAATTATTTCATTAATTTCAGATTTTCAGGTATACTGCAGGTAAAGCAATACAGTTTTTCCATGGCTTCCTTATGAAGCATACCAAGCTATATTTAACAGCGAGAAAAACAGTGTTTTGCCTTGTCATTCAATCACATGTACCAAGGCTACAATTGAAATATTGATTGATGTGGTTCATTCTGATACCTACCTATCAGGTCTTCAACAATGTCCCTTCTGCCGATCTCTATCAGAGCTGTGCATAACATGTCCCTCTGATCCGCGCTAGTGGATTGTTGGCGCCTCCATTTGACCAGCATGTTGAAGATCTGGTTCTCTGTCTGGCCTGGGTCATCTATCACGATGCGCTCGATCTCTGCAGCGCTTAAACCGAGATGTGTAGCCAGCTTCCGCCATTCGGCGCCAAGCCTCTGAGAGATCTTGCGTAGAACAGGCTCAGTGATACCTACAAACAGACACAAATCAATTAATACGGTAAACAAAACCTCTCATGTTTCTTACTTTGCTCAACAGCTTGTTTATAAGTGAACTAGCTCATATGCTCATATGCTCATGTTCAGTACCACAACTTTGGACACTTATTAAATTCTATTGATTCTCTCTGACTCAGATCAGAATGAGAATAACGCTGACTGAGGTTGGCGTAGCGGTACTTTCCTCGCCTTCCACCACTGACCCGGGTTCGAATCCCGCCCAGGCCAATATGTGGATTGGGTAATTTTGCCTGATTCCGTGGGTTTCCCTAGAATATCATTCTAGGGTTTTTCTCCCATCACTAATCCTTCCACATCTTTTACCAAGGAACCCAACTAGAAATAAGTCGAGAGACTTTCGTGGGTTATCCCGGTCAATTGCCGAATAATTACAGACAAACTCACAGTGAAAAGTTGGTGCACAGTGTTTCTTCTTTTGTAGACATGAACGTCAACAAGTAATACAAAACGTAATACAATCCAGCCTTTGGCCACTCATAAAATGTTTCATCATCTGGCAAAACGGAACGTTAAAAACTACAATATAATTAAAAAATAAAACACGGTATGAGGGTTGATAGTCGATATTAGACCATTTGCAAGGTGCGCCATGACAGCGGGCAGGTTTTATTTAAATTTAGTTACAACTAGTGCAGTGCCCGTCTAAAATGTGTATGTTGGGAAAGCGCAAATTGCTTTGCCGGAAGTTGTTTGGGCGAGTGGTTCTCAGAATAGCTGCAAAAATTAGTGCAGATATTCACCATTACTGGACAATGGTATCACTCTGCAGTAAGGTTGCTCGACTGCAAAAATAATGTGCCCGTGCAGCCACCACGTAAGTGTACATATTTATGGAAACATATGGTATGCAATGCTGTTCACCCATACTGGACAATGGTATCGCCCTACAATGCACGTGCGCGTGCCCGTCCTTTTTCCGTTGTTGCGTCATATTGAGCACGCGCGCTTTAGCTTTACATGACGTAAACAATTGAAAAGAATGGCAGTGGGCGGTGTTATGTTCTAAGCTATATACTGGCACGTTAGCCCTCAGAAAATATTGGGGTTTTTTGCAGCTTTTTCGAGAACCGCTAGTCCAAACCACTTCAAACTTGGCACTGCACATTCTGTTGACCCAAGCAATACACAGGCCGATTTTCAACTTCATACGGTGCCCGGTTCTGGAGATAATCGACGGACAGACAGACACACACACACACACACAGATTCCTGGAATTATAGTAGAGATACAAGCACAACATACCTGATCAAGTGAATCCATTGATCTCCATTAGTAAGACTGGATAAGACATGCGTACACTTGCACGCAGAGAAGATTCGGAAAACGTGGACACAAACAGCTGGGTAGTACAGTGCGGGTTTAATGTTTGCGACTGCGTGACTTGGGCGTGCTGCATGGTCTGTGTGGGACGAACGCATTTCAAACTTTCAAAGCCTCACCGATGACTACGCATGCGTGCACAAGATGGAGGGCGCTGTGTCCTATCCAGTCTTACTAATGGAGATCAATGAGTGTATCACACAGAAACACAGCCTTACCTACTGTCATGACACACCATGCAAAGGGTCTGTTAGGCTTTATAACTTACCTGCAACTTGGGGCTTCCCATCGTCCACATTTGTTTCTGAAAATGAAATAATAAAGGTACTTGCATTACAGTCTTTCCTCGCTAAATATTACACTGGGACATCGAGCATGATTTCAATTTTGTTTAATCGATAAAGATCCTTTCTAACAAATGAGAATAGTATTAGGGCCCTGTAAACCCAAGTCCATCTTTTGCTCAACTGTTCAATCGTCTGAAGAACTTAATTGACATGAGGAAATATTGAAATCTTTTCTGACATAACGTTTGTTACACAGGTAGACTTTGATTATCATTTTTGTTTAAATGGAAGTCCAAGATTCATTCAATTACCAACTGACGCGTGCGCATTATGGTCATTGACTAAACCTGGTTGCAGAATAGTACCGGTAGCTGCAGGCAGGGTAAGGGCAGTTGCCTTGAGAATTAGCTGGTGCAAAACTCTTGCTATCAATGGGGGGCTACCTGAGCAGGATTGCGCTAGAAATGATACATGTACATGAATACGATGCAGTGTTTGCTCCGATTCCAATTAAATGAGTGAGTGAGACACCTGGGAATGATATACAATGGGATGGTTGCTCCGATTCCAATTAAATGAGTGAGTGAGACACCTGGGAATGATATACAATGGGATGGTTGCTCCGATTCCAATTAAATGAGTGAGTGAGACACCTGGGAATGATATACGATGGGATGGTTGCTCCGATTCCAATTAAATGAGTGAGTGAGACACCTGGGAATGATATACAATGGGATGGTTGCTCCGATTCCAATTAAATGAGTGAGTGAGACACCTGGGAATGATATACAATGGGATGGTTGCTCCGATTCCAATTAAATGAGTGAGTGAGACACCTGGGAATGATATACAATGGGATGGTTGCTCCGATTCCAATTAAATGAGTGAGTGAGACACCTTGGAATGATATACAATGGGATGGTTGCTCCGATTCCAATTAAATGAGTGAGTGAGACACCTGGGAATGATATACAATGCGATGGTTGCTCCGATTCCAATTAAATGAGTGAGACACCTGGGAATGATATACAATGCGATGGTTGCTCCGATTCCAATTAACCCTTACCCTACTAGACCCTCAAACGCATGCCAATATGTGCATCAAGAAAATCTCCTATGTTTTTTTGCACGGCCCTCCAATATCTGCCATGTCATTTCAAGGGTAACTGGACAGGCACTCCAATACATGCCACAGAGAACAATGAGAGTCCTCTGATAACAAAGTGAGTGCCCCCAGCTGGTCAGTATCAGGCACCCTCCAGGGCCTCCAACTCCTGCCAATTGGAGCCTTCACTGTTAAGACAAACTATCTGCCAATAAACTGCAGCTGGAGGGCATTGGCATAACCAACTGACATGCAGTAAACTACCCTCAGAGAGTAAGGGTTAATTAAATGAGTAAGTGAGACACCTCAGAATGATATACAATGCGATGGTTGCTCCGATTCCAATTAAATGAGTGAGACACCTTGGAATGATATACAATGCGATGGTTGCTCAGATTCCAATTAAATGTGTAAGTGAGACACCTTGGAATGATATACAATGCGATGGTTGCTCCGATTCCAATTAAATGAGTAAGTGAGACACCTCGGAATGATATACAATGCGATGGTTGCTCTGATTCCAATTAAATGAGTGAGACACCTTGGAATGATATACAATGCGATGGTTGCTCCGATTCCAATTAAGTGAGTAAGTGAGACACCTCAGAATGATATACAATGCGATGGTTGCACCCATTCCAAATAAATGAGTAAGTGAGACACCTCGGAATGATATACAATGCGATGGTTGCTCCAGTTCAAAGTGAGTGAGATACTCGCTGATCATCAATTATTCATTGATGATATTTGTCCAAAAAAACTACACAATGTAAATATATATAAGGATCTATAACTTACCCAGAAATTGGGCATGAACATGTATGAGGTAAAGTTTTGGCTTTATAACTTACCGGTACCTGGAACTTGGGGGTGCTCATCATCCAAGTTTGTTTCTGAAAAGAAATTTGTTTTAAAAGTAACTACATTTGTTTATACACTGTAAATAGCACTGAAAAGAGGCATTTACAAATTAAGAGAGCGCAAACATACATGGCTATTAGGTCAGTTAATAGAGCACTACAACGGTGATTCAGAGGTTGCCTGTTCAAATATCACTCTAGTCAATTTTCTTTACTAATCTGCTTAAATCAACGACAAAGATATTCAGTCTGATTGGTATCAATTCTTTTGTCTCATGTCAAACATTAACTCGAAATATACTGACTCAATGGGATGTGTAGCGGGATTGTCTTCAACTGCTGTTGAAGATGTCTCTTCCAAAATTATGGTGGAAAATAATCTCAAATTCAGCCCCTGTCTGCTTTGATAATTTTTTTTTTTGATTGGCAAGCTGTATCTTGCCTCGAAGCGAGAGCACCATCATGATCTCGCAACGACACTCAACCAAAAAAGACAGCCCCCCCCCAGTGCAACTTTTTTTTCAGTATCATTTGTCAAAATTGCATATTTTCGTCCTCATTATCATTCTTTTGGGCAAAACAAAGATTATGGCTGGATTGCTAAGGAAGTTGTTATTTGAGCGTAAGGTGCTCGGTAGTTTTTGAAATGGACAAAAAGTATGGGGGGACTTTCTTTTTTTTGTTGAGTGTAATAGACAAATGACAGAATACATTGTAAAAAATGGTGTACAACTCACCTGGAACTTGGGGAGGCTCATCATCCGATTTTCTTACTGAAATAAAATAATATGAACTTTACATGCATTTGCCTTTACAGAAATAACACAGCACGGTGGAAAATAATTGGGAGAGGGCAAACATAGGGCTCAATAATTCAGTCAATAGAGCACTGGAACGGTGTTTCTGAGGTCGCATGTCCAAAATCTTCCATAGCTAATGAAGCTGGATGCTGTATAGTAAAAAGTACGCAAAGTGAATTTGGGTAATGTTTTGCAGAAATTGAAAAAAAAGGTACAAATGTCATATTTGGACGTAACACTGACAAGGTGTAAATGTTACGTCCAAAATGACATTTTTGGCTGTTTCGGCACTTTTGCCGAAACAGCCTTTGTTTTCGTTAAGATTTTTATTTTTTTCTTTTCTTTTTTTTTCTTCTTTTTCAGCCATTCTCCATAGCATTTGTACACGTTTTTACAGTGGAAGGCACTTTGGGCACTAAAATCAATCCGATTGACTTTATACTCGGCACACACTTAGACCAGCATCTGAAGATGTGCCCTGAAGATTGACTTCATGGTGACGTCATCGACTAATTTATTATAGAATTTTGAATATTTAATTTTTCCCATAGACTTTGTACACAGAAATCAAAAAAAAAATGTCAATTTTCAAAGGGCATTTTTGACTCTTTGCCAGTAATTCATCTGCACCAATCTTTGTCCAAGCAAAGACCCTAATTCAAACAACATTGTGTAATGATGACGTCATGATGACGTCACCTGGTGTGTATTTATAGGCAATTAAATTGTGACACTTTTAATATTTAAAAATGCATAAGAAACCAACCATACGCGTCCGCAGCATTCTGTTACTGGCAAGTGGTAGAGTAGGTTGAGGTCTTTATTTCATTCAATGTGCGTGAAATCACGTGACCCTTGCTTCCGGTCGTAAAAGGCCAAAACCAGAAGTGGCTTATTATTTGAAAATGGTAATAGATATGAACTTGCTTTTAATGGTGTTGAGCGCCCTCTAGCGACAGGTTGAAAATTTGCAAAAATGTATTTTGAATAGATGTCTGTGGCGAAGTTTGTCGGAATCGCCTAAATATTGGTGTATATGATGACCTTGACCCACTTAAAACGTGTGCGAAGTTTCAGACGAATGACGTCATCAGACCGGAAGTTATAATAAAAAGACTCTTTTTCATTTGAAAATTCCTGAAAAATCAACCATGGCAGTTTTTATGTTAGTTTTTACTTTAATTGTCGATTTAAGGGTAGGTCTAAAACATTTCAAAGCTTCGAGGCAATAAGCGAACTCGAACATGCCCTGCGCACGCTTAAAACTTGAGGTTGACAATACCTCTGCTCTAAAACATGCACAGAATGTCTATATGTACATACACGTACGTTACGCACATACATCGTATGTCAGTCGGCCTGCAGAGCACGTGTTGCCGAGGTCAAATCCTGTCCACATCACAGTGACCGTTTTAGCCGATTTTCGGCTAACTTTGACAGATTTTATGTTCATGCATGCGCATAGTCAGGGACGTATAATAAAAAATCATAATGCCGAAACAGCCCTATGTTTGTCCACAAACATATGTCTAGTTTGCTCATTTTTTTGGCAAAATACATTGAAATGATTCAAACTTTCTGCAGTAGTGAAACACCCAACAACAAATATTATGTAGAGCAACTGCTAGCAAGGCATTCATGCTTTTCTTAATATGGTCATATGTCACACATTGTTCCCCAACCTGGTGGAATGACCCACATATAAATTTGCCATGTGGTGACAGGGGGCTGGTCGGCAGTGCGGTCCCCTTTGTTTCAGGGACTCTGCTATGCTATATACTGTGCCTAATAGCGTCAATGCAAAGGATGGAGGGGAAGGATGCTGTCAGGGAACCGATATCAGGGCCAGGAAAGTCATAACATGCAGGGTTTTAATACAGACAATTAAAAGATTGTGTCTCACCCGGTCTTGGCTGTAGTTGCAGCGATGGTTGTGGCATTGGTTCCTGCTGGGAAGGTTGTTCGTTACCAGCCGGTAGTTGTTGGGTTGCAGCTGCCTGACTGGCTGGTGCTGTGCTTGGACCAGGGTTAGTTTGTGTCTCACCCGGTCTTGGCTGTAGTTGTGGCGGTGGTTGTGGCATTGGTTCCTGCTGGGAAGGCTGTCTGCTGCCGGACTGAGTCGTTTGTTGATCATCCCTCACTCCATCAGCCGGTAGTTGTTGGGTTGCAGCTGCCTGACTGGCTGGTGCTGTGCTTGGACCAGGGTTAGTTTGTGTCTCACCCGGTCTTGGCTGTAGTTGTGGCGGTGGTTGTGGCATTGGTTCCTGCTGGGAAGGCTGTCTGCTGCCAGACTGAGTCGTTTGTTGATCATCCCTCACTCCATCAGCCGGTAGTTGTCGGGTTGCAGCTGCCTGACTGGCTGGTGCTGTGCTTGGACCAGGGTTAGTTTGTGTCTCACCCGGTCTTGGCTGTAGTTGTGGCGGTGGTTGTGGCATTGGTTCCTGCTGGGAAGGCTGTCTGCTGCCGGACTGAGTCGTTTGTTGATCATCCCTCACTCCATCAGCCGGTAGTTGTTGGGTTGCAGCTGCCTGACTGGCTGGTGCTGTGCTTGGACCAGGGTTAGTTTGTGTCTCACCCGGTCTTGGCTGTAGTTGTGGCGGTGGTTGTGGCATTGGTTCCTGCTGGGAAGGCTGTCTGCTGCCGGACTGAGTCGTTTGTTGATCATCCCTCACTCCATCAGCCGGTAGTTGTTGGGTTGCAGCTGCCTGACTGGCTGGTGCTGTGCTTGGACCAGGGTTAGTTTGTGTCTCACCCGGTCTTGGCTGTAGTTGTGGCGGTGGTTGTGGCATTGGTTCCTGCTGGGAAGGCTGACTGCTGCCGAACTGAGTCGTTTGTTGATCATCCCTCACTCCATCAGCCGGTAGTTGTTGGGTTGCAGCTGCCTGACTGGCTGGTACTGTGCTTGGACCAGCGTTAGTTTGTGTCTCACCCGGTCTTGGCTGTAGTTGTGGCGGTGGTTGTGGCATTGGTTCCTGCTGGGAAGGCTGTCTGCTGCCGGACTGAGTCGTTTGTTGATCATCCCTCACTCCATCAGCCGGTAGTTGTTGGGTTGCAGCTGCCTGACTGGCTGGTACTGTGCTTGGACCAGGGTTAGTTTGTGTCTCACCCGGTCTTGGCTGTAGTTGTGGCGGTGGTTGTGGCATTGGTTCCTGCTGGGAAGGCTGTCTGCTGCCGGACTGAGTCGTTTGTTGATCATCCCTCACTCCATCAGCCGGTAGTTGTTGGGTTGCAGCTGCCTGACTGGCTGGTGCTGTGCTTGGACCAGGGTTAGTTTGTGTCTCACCCGGTCTTGGCTGTAGTTGTGGCGGTGGTTGTGGCATTGGTTCCTGCTGGGAAGGCTGTCTGCTGCCGGACTGAGTCGTTTGTTGATCATCCCTCACTCCATCAGCCGGTAGTTGTTGGGTTGCAGCTGCCTGACTGGCTGGTGCTGTGCTTGGACCAGCGTTAGTTTGTGTCTCACCCGGTCTTGGCTGTAGTTGTGGCGGTGGTTGTGGCATTGGTTGCTGCTGGGAAGGCTGTCTGCTGCCGGACTGAGTCGTTTGTTGATCATCCCTCACTCCATCAGCCGGTAGTTGTTGGGTTACAGCTGCCTGACTGGCTGGTGCTGTGCTTGGACCAGGGTTAGTTTGTGTCTCACCCGGTCTTGGCTGTAGTTGTGGCGGTGGTTGTAGCATTGGTTCCTGCTGGGAAGGCTGTCTGCTGCCGGACTGAGTCGTTTGTTGATCATCCCTCACTCCATCAGCCGGTAGTTGTTGGGTTGCAGCTGCCTGACTGGCTGGTACTGTGCTTGGACCAGGGTTAGTTTGTGTCTCACCCGGTCTTGACTGTAGTTGTGGCGGTGGTTGTGGCATTGGTTCCTGCTGGGAAGGCTGTCTGCTGCCGGACTGAGTCGTTTGTTGATCATCCCTCACTCCATCAGCCGGTAGTTGTTGGGTTGCAGCTGCCTGACTGGCTGGTGCTGTGCTTGGACCAGGGTTAGTTTGTGTCTCACCCGGTCTTGGCTGTAGCTGTGGCGGTGGTTGTAACGTTGGTTCCTGCTGGGAAGGCTGTCTGCTGCCAGACTGAGTCGTTTGTTGATCATCCCTCACTCCATCAGCCGGTAGTTGTTGGGTTGCAGCTGCCTGACTGGCTGGTGCTGTGCTTGGACCAGCGTTAGTTTGTGTCTCACCCGGTCTTGGCTGTAGTTGTGGCGGTGGTTGTGGCATTGGTTGCTGCTGGGAAGGCTGTCTGCTGCCGGACTGAGTCGTTTGTTGATCATCCCTCACTCCATCAGCCGGTAGTTGTTGGGTTACAGCTGCCTGACTGGCTGGTGCTGTGCTTGGACCAGGGTTAGTTTGTGTCTCACCCGGTCTTGGCTGTAGTTGTGGCGGTGGTTGTGGCATTGGTTCCTGCTGGGAAGGCTGTCTGCTGCCGGACTGAGTCGTTTGTTGATCATCCCTCACTCCATCAGCCGGTAGTTGTTGGGTTGCAGCTGCCTGACTGGCTGGTGCTGTGCTTGGACCAGGGTTAGTTTGTGTCTCACCCGGTCTTGGCTGTAGTTGTGGCGGTGGTTGTGGCATTGGTTCCTGCTGGGAAGGCTGTCTGCTGCCGGACTGAGTCGTTTGTTGATCATCCCTCACTCCATCAGCCGGTAGTTGTTGGGTTGCAGCTGCCTGACTGGCTGGTGCTGTGCTTGGACCAGCGTTAGTTTGTGTCTCACCCGGTCTTGGCTGTAGTTGTGGCGGTGGTTGTGGCATTGGTTGCTGCTGGGAAGGCTGTCTGCTGCCGGACTGAGTCGTTTGTTGATCATCCCTCACTCCATCAGCCGGTAGTTGTTGGGTTACAGCTGCCTGACTGGCTGGTGCTGTGCTTGGACCAGGGTTAGTTTGTGTCTCACCCGGTCTTGGCTGTAGTTGTGGCGGTGGTTGTAGCATTGGTTCCTGCTGGGAAGGCTGTCTGCTGCCGGACTGAGTCGTTTGTTGATCATCCCTCACTCCATCAGCCGGTAGTTGTTGGGTTGCAGCTGCCTGACTGGCTGGTACTGTGCTTGGACCAGGGTTAGTTTGTGTCTCACCCGGTCTTGACTGTAGTTGTGGCGGTGGTTGTGGCATTGGTTCCTGCTGGGAAGGCTGTCTGCTGCCGGACTGAGTCGTTTGTTGATCATCCCTCACTCCATCAGCCAGTAGTTGTTGGGTTGCAGCTGCCTGACTGGCTAGTGCTGTGCTTGGACCAGGGTTAGTTTGTGTCTCATTTCGTCTTCGGGCTCTCTTAGCCGGTGGTTCTGCCATTTAGCTCTGGTTTTGTGGGCACAGCTTACTTGCAGACAGCTTCGGTAGTCCAACCTGGTATAATGCTGTGAGTGCAAAGCACAATCAGGTAAAATCACAAAATGGATGCTGTTGGTCAGTCAATCAGTCCATCAATCCGTTGGTCGACCGGTTGGTCATTATATCAGACATGCAACTGGGAATTAAAAAAAACCAGGGATTTCCAAACCCCACAAGACTTGGTATAGTGTTTTGCAATTTGTAATGGTATTCACGAGAAGCAAAACACAAGGAAATCAGCGGATCTGAGGGAAAGTTGCATGCCTGCTATACAATGTACATGTCAGTCAGTCGGGTTGGTCGTTCTGTTGGTTGGTCGGTCAATCTGTCGTTTAGTCGATCAGTTCGTTGCTCTGTCGGTTGGTCAGTTGGGTGGTCGATTGGTTGGTCAGTCAGTCCATCGGTCAGTTGGTCGCTCTGTTGGTCGGTCGGTCAAGCGGTCGGTTGGTAGGTAGGTTGGTCGGGTTGCTCTGTCGGTCGGTTGGTAGGTAGGTTGGTCCTCTGTCAGTTGGGAGGTCAGTTGGTCGGCCGGTCGATCAGTCAGTGACTCTGTCGGTTGGTCAGTCTGTCGGCCAGTTAGTTCACCAGTCGGTCGGTCAGTCAGTCAGTACGGAGCGACCAACCGATCGACTGACTTAAAGTCAGTCGATTGGTTGGTCGCTCCATCCGTCAGTTGGTCGGTCAATCGATGGATCGGTTGGTCGCCCTGTCGATTGGTCGGTCATCGGTTGATCGGATGGTCCCTCTGTCAGTCGGTCCCTCTGTCAGTTGTTTGGATAGTTGGTTAGTCAGCTAAAAACAATACACTAAGCTGGCCCTCCAGTGAAATAGCACCCCACCCCCGAAAACAATTCTTGCTATGTGACCAGCAAAACTTCCTGCCACCTTGACAATAAAAGTCCATAGTAGTTTTTTATTTGAGCATGTTGGAGCTTTAAACTTTAAATTGGAGACCCAGTTTATTTTACAAGTCATATCATTCAGTCACAATGGTTTAAAAAAGGTGAACATTCCTTATCAGCAGAAAGGGAAATATTGCAGTCAACCCTAACTCCTGGGGCTCTTTTACTAGAAAGTATCCTGAATCCGCCAAAATCCACCAATTTTGTCATGCAAAATATGCTGGTATCCTGAATCCATCAGAATCTCCCAGTGTAGATACTGGAGGTATCCTGAATCCGCCAGAATCCACCAGCAAAAGTCTTGATGGATTCTGGCGGATTCAGGATACCATGGTGGCATAAAAAAAATACAGCATGTTTTTCCATAGAGTCTTTAAATTCATCACCTAAATTTCTGGTGGATTTTGATGGATTCAGGATACCATGCTGGCATGAAAATTGTTATGTGTGTTGTTGCATAGGATCCATCAAAATACACCAATGCATGGCGACCCCAGCATGGATCAGTACCGAAGTGAATACGTCTCGCGCACAAAATTTGTGTGAAAGACATTAGCGCATGTTTCAGCCCGTAAACCATAGATATAGAATGAAAAGACTAGATCGGCAGTGCGTCCACACGCGCCCAGTCACTGTGCGATAAATCTCCGCCAATTTGGTTGTCTCTCATAGACGCGCAACAAATTAACATAAAGTAATGGAGCTAAATGTATCTTTCCTCCAGCACGTGACCTAGCCTAACACGCGCGAAGCAAGAAATGCGCACCAAGTATTTACGCGATGCCCACACATAATTATTAGCGATGCACATGGTGCTCTTTGCGCGTAAATGGCGTTGCGTTCGTCACGTTTTCGCGCATTATTTGTATCTCTCCTCCAGCACGTGACCCCCCATGCAAGTCCACCCAGTACATGTGTGTACATGTTTGTACAGTATGTGACAGATTTGGCAGGGCTAGTGCCAGCAGTATTTACTTGACCACAAACATTGCAAAAGAGTTAAACTGTTGAGATCCTGAATCCATCAAAGTCCCCAATAGCTCAAAATGGAGGTATCCTGAATCCATCAAAATCTGCCAGTTCCGCTAGGCTTCGAATCCTGAGTCCATCAAAATCCCCCAGTTTGTTCAATATGGAGGTATCCTGAATCCCTCGAAATCCCCCGAAACAGGGGGGTGGATTTTGTTGGATTTAGGTACGTTAGGGTTTAGACCTACTGACGTCACGCTTTGTTTACATGTGTGCTTTCTTATGGGAGCCAGGTGGGCACGAGAGCCACCATGCAAGCTCCCATAGGAAAGCACACATGTAAATAGCCCCATAAATGTGGCCTATTTACTGGACTGCCGCCGTAAACATAGGCCACACATCCACATGTACAAAAAACGTGTCGACTTTGCCAAATTTTGATTTTCACATTTAGGCTTACTTTGTAGATTTTTTTTGCTTTAGAAGCATTCTCACCCTCTATATAGGCTAATCAGAAAGTGCTGCCTTTTTCAGATGTTTAATTTTTGTGAAATTTCATGTTGAAATTTTGATACGCAAACGTGTGCAAATGTATGTGGAAATTTCACGAAAAATGGACATCTGAAAAAGGCAGCACTTTCTGATTAGCCTATATAGAGGGTGAGAATGCTTCTAAAGCAAAAAAAACATAAAAAGTAAGCCTAAATGTGAAAATCAAAATTTGGCAAAGTCGACATGTGGATGTGTGGCCTATGTTTACGGAGGCAGTCCAGTAAATAGGCCACATTTATGGGGCTAACATGTAAACAAAGCGTGACGTCATGATGTCTAATACATTTAGGTCAATTAGTTCACTCACCTTTAACCCATGAAAAGCGTTACTCTGTAGCTGACTGTGGCAGCGACGGAGCTCACACATCCATTACTGTTTGGATATAAAGACAAAATAGTTTTTGTGCGGGAAGGAATTTAAACACCATTTTGGCAACCTTCATTCTAGTGCATAAAAACATCCAGAACAGCAGTGGGTGGAGAAGGGGCATGCCCCACCCATGTTTTCCCACTCCTCATTTACCCCCATGCTCCGTATCATAGCCTCAATGTCCATACTCATTATTTGCTGATGGTACATTTAACATAAGGACCTGTCTGGAAGGGACCCTCATCATGCCAATACATGTGTGAACTTTGGACAGCCACACCTACCTATGGCACGCCAAAGCAGAATTTATTCAACCCTGCACGGCAACTGCCAACATTATGAAATACATCACAACTTTTTTGAAAGGTATGTCAACATTGTAAAATATATGTCAACATTTTAAAAAAGTATGTCAACATTTTAAAAAATATGTCAACATTGTAAAAAATATGTCAACATTGTAAACAATATGTCAACATTTCAAAAACGTATGTCAACATTTAAAAAATATGTCAACATTTCAAAAACGTCTGTCAACATTTAAAAAATATATGTCAACATTTCAAAAACTTATGTCAACATTTAAAAAATATATGTCAACATTTTAAAAAAATATGTCAACATTGTAAACAATATGTCAACATTTCAAAAACGTATGTCAACATTTAAAAAATATATGTCAACATTTCAAAAACGTATGTCAACATTTAAACTACATGTAGAACGGCGAAGCCGCCATGGCTCGCTGTTCAAGGCAGGAAGGGAGGCTGAAGGTAGGGTTGGGGATGGGCATGATGGAAGGGGATCAGGATTCTTGTTGATGTGCCTAGGTGTAGGGGTCAGTTTTTAAATGTCAACATAAAAAGTAAACAGATTACCTAATAAATACATGTGCATATAGGTTAGCCATCACTGTATTATGGAGGAGTTTTCCATTGTTAGGGTAATTAGGACCCAGTTGTGGATTTTTGCAGCCCCAACAGTGTCTTCTGCTCCCCATACTTGTATTACCATGGGAAAACTCTTGTGTAGTCGCAACAAATGCAGAGCAAGAATGGGTATACATGTACATGAAGACACAGCACCATCACCACCTCCCCCAAACCTTACCCCATCCCAAAACCTTACCCCATCCCCAACACGTCCCCTCCCCCTCCTCCACCCAACCCCCTACCCACACCCATCCCATCCTCCCCTAACCATCCCCACCCTATCACCTACACATCCCAACCCCACCCAAACTCCAATCCCTATCTCCTTCCCCCTCCCCTGACCCGTACCCTCCCCTACCCCAACCCCCTACCCTATCTGTCCTTACCCACCCTACACATCCCCACCCTAACCCTTACTCGAATTCCAATATCCCACCCACCCCATTACCCCACCCTTACATCCCCACCTGACCCCATGCAGCCTCTACTCTGATCCCTATATACTGCCTCCTCCTCTTATCCAACCCCTACAACCCATCCCTACACATCCCCAACCCAACCCCTACTCCGATCCTATATCACGCCCCCTGCCCAACCCCCTCCTAACCCAACCCCTACATCCATGCCCATCCTCTCCTTACCTGTCTCCCCTACCTGTCTCTCCCTACCTGTTCCCACCCCACCCCTACAAATCCCCACCCCACCCAAACCCAGTGTTCCAACCCCTCTCCCCACCCCATCCCAACCCCAACCCACTCCCCCCCACCCATCCTAGCTCCCCTACTCATCCTACTCACACAAACCCTAACTCCAACCCTATCCTCTAACCCACCCCACCCCACCCTCCCCTACCCCATCCCTACTCCAACTCCATAAACTAAA